GCCCAGGGCGGAATCGAACCAGCAACTCGAGTCCAAACATTCTATTAAAACTAGGAACCGTTGTTACAACTTCCACGTTTAAACTTTGCCAAATGCTAAACATTAAAAGAAGCACGGGAATCTCTTTGAATGAGCTGAGTTTGTGAGCTTGAAATGATCCTCAACGATTGCTCTGATATTCTAGTATATCTATAGGGCGTACGATTCGTGGTTTACGTTACAGTCGGTTTCGTTGTCATCTCGAAAGCGGAACGTCCGGCTCTTTCAAAACGTCGTCGTCTCCACCACATTCACCACCGTCATTTCCATGAAGTCACTAATGACTCTACCGTCCATATGATTCCGAGTGGTCAATAGATTTTCCGTGGTTCATTTTTCATTTGTGGTAAATGGAAATTAGAATAGCTGAAAGTATCCCTTTAGTCGTAAGACTTATGAGCACACGTTTTTGAGGCAAACTTTCATAAAATCCACCTTCAGCTGAAAAGAAATAGACATTTATTACATTTCATTTCGAGTTCTCTGTATAAAAGGAATTACAAAGTGAGAATAGCTTCTTAGTTTTCTGAGTAACCAAATGGATCCGTTTTCACAACTGAGTTTTTAAATGCTCTAACAATGCTGGAATACAACAAAAATCAAATTCATTTGTTACTTACACCATCTGGGGCGCGTGTGGCGCAGTGGTCGGAGGCGTCTTGCAACACACACGTGGAGTTGATCTCCACGCCCATGGCCCACCAAGCCTTCCATCCATCCGGGATCTGCGAATTGGTACCAAACTTGTCTGGGAGGATAGCAGCACTGGCTCGATGCATCGGTAGGCCACGGCTAGTCATTGAAAAGACCAGATATGCATTCACTCACCCCAACGATACTTAATGAAGTTGAATGCATGATGCATCCCTTAGAAATTGATCAACGCCGAAAATGTTATCTTTTTGTGCCATCTAAGGATGCAAGCGGACGAGTATGTTTGATCTCCAACTACACAAGACTTACAGAATATTTAGCTTGAAAGTAAGTTTTTCCTCGCTTCCCTGTCCAAGCCACTTATGTTGGACGAAGAAGGAGAAAAAACGCTATTTTGTCGCAGTTTTCCATGGAAATTTGCGTACGACAAACTGACAAACTTAAAGAGAATGGTAGTCTTAAGCAACTTTTAAAGCTTAAATTTTCTTTCCAAGCTACTACTTTTGTTTCGAAGAAAACATGGAACTTGGTTTGTAGTTGGACTCAATAGTTATCTTTAATATAATGTATACATATATATAATGCATATTTAATAAATAAATATAGTATCAACGGATCTAACCAATACCAGGATCCACCACCGACCTGGTATGAAAGTGGCACGGTGCAAATCTCCCTCTGATCCACAGGGGCTGCTACTGCCTGTGGTGCTGAGGACCTGGGGCAGACTTTGGCCAACCTGACCTCGATGGCTTAATCAAAAAATCTTTGAAAAATTGAGATTTAGCTAGGGCCCGCACAACCAATGAGGACAGGCCATTCAAGTATCAAGTATCAAGTAAGTAATACAATGTATATTTAGGAATTTAAGCGGTCCTCATCCACCAGTGACGGAAAATCGTACCGCCTCAGTACAATTTAAATTTGAGCGAACAATTGCTGGTAGCACAAGTTCTTCTTTGCTTGGACTATGTAAAGCCATTCTAGAACAGTTCTAGACACGGGTTGTCATCACTTTTCAGCTCTGGCCTGCGTTGCTGCCAGAAAAGAATCATTGTTGACACTGGTTTACTTCTAACTCAAGTTCATTATGGAAATAGCTAATTCTTTTACAACATGCGAGTCCTTCTAAAGTTTGTGCCCAATGGTAAATAGTAGTCCGACACCTAAGAATACCTCCTGTATACGACTGGGTAGTGGTTACGGAAAGTACGTCTTCTAAAAAATTATTTCGTCTTAGGAAATTAGGTAATCCTCAACATCTATGCCCGTTCAATCATCCAGTAAGTGGCACGAAAGGTGTTGCAATTCTTCGCATTTATGAGACTAAACACCATTTTTTCGTTTTGTTTGTCCATCTGTGCTTCGCAAGCTGAGGATGTCGTTGGCCTATGTCTCCGAGCTTTTTGTTCGATGAAGCAATTCGTATAGTTTCTTAATAATTAGCTATCAAAACAATCTAAAAAAACGCACGTGTCTCTTGTCAACTGAACGAATTATGGATGTGACAATGTTTCATCCAATCAACAAGTGTATTTTGAACATTACCAATAGTATAACCACAATGATGCTGAGATATTTTGCAAAACAACTGCGGACCGCAGCTGTCTGTGAATCGAACTCACTATTACCCTTTCCGGGCGCCAACGTGTTCACCACCAATGCGCCATGCATTCGGCTTCGTTAAGCATCGTTGGGGGTGATTGAATGCACATCTGGCTTTTAATATGACTCTCAGTTCTACCGATGTATCGAAACAGCGCCTCTATCCTCCCAGACAAGTCTGGTGCCAATTTACCAAACTCGGAGAGATGGAAGGCTTCGCGATCCAGAGGCGCTGGGATAGATCTTATATGAATTGCAGGGCGCCTCCCACGTCACTGCGTCACACGCGCTCCATACCACGTCAGCACCTGGAAACGGTAACAACGAATTAGATCCCCACAGACATCTGCGATCCCGAGTTTTGCAAATATCTCAGCGTCATTATGGTTATATTTCTCATCATACGCTGCCAAGAAAAATGAATTGGCAGTAAATAAAGAAGTCACTACGTTGTCACCAATGAAATTTTTATGTTTTTTCTTCACATGACCCATTTTCACATTTACTTTGCAGATTCCAGCTATTCTTGTATTTGATTCGTTCCTTCGTATCCTTCATCCACGAAAGTCTTTCAACATTTCGCGTGTAGCTTCGGTTGCTGCTGAAGGATTTCACTCTTTCTTATGGATGCCATTTAATGCTGAATGAGTAGACTCTTCTTTGATTTGTGAAGGAATTGTACCCTAGCGTTCTCTTGATGATTTAGGGAGTGAATTGGTCCCATACAAGTCTCGTACGAATTATCTGACTTAGGGGAATAAGAGGCTTAATGAGTAAGGGGCAAAGTCGAACCAAGAGCGTTCTAGTGGTGAACGGCATCGATATCACTGCGGTAGCCATCTTCAGTCAATAATGGACGGTTGTTAAAAATGTCATTATGTAAATGCAATTAGGAAACACGCCAATCCATCGAATCGGGTTTGCCAATCGCTTACTTCATGCAATCATTCATTTGTAAAATTCTTTCAGTTTTCAGTTAAGGTCCAGATTTTCGAAAACTGCTTTGTTTACGACTGGATCCTAGGTGAATTCATGAACTGTTACGCCTGGATCTCTGTCTCTGTGTCTGTCTATCTCTCTGTCTCTCTCTTAGTAAGTTTTTGTCTCTGTCAAGTGGTCGTCCCCCGACTTCACCAAGACTCATACAAATCGGGAACGATGTGAAATAAACATTAGAGCATAATGTGGCCGACAGTTTCTCGGGTGAAATCTGCTGTTTGAACTTCTATACGGTGTGGACATAAGAGTATAAAACGTCCTTAATCATAAAGCTTTTGGCCTATGAAATATAAAACTGACGTCATTTTTCCTGAAAAACTCGTTAGGACTCCCTATTATAGACAATGAAATAATCATTTAACAAGCTGCTCCCAAAACATTCTTAATTCGCATCATCGAAATGGTTACATTGTTTGCCATCAGTTCCTCATTTGTGGAATTCTTCTCCTCAGTAGCTACAGATAGTTCGGTTGATATAATCATTTTTCCGACTGTCATCTCGCACGTGAGCATTCTGTCTACATCCGTTGTATGACGTCATCATCCTAAGTTGGCTCACATTGATCCCTAAAACGTTCTTAAATTTATTAGACCACTTCAACATAGACAGTTTGTCTTAAAAAGATGTGCTTAGACCATCCTTGGATTTTTTTAATAGCCCAGGAAGCCTAGGTACAATGAAAGTTGGTTGTTTAAGATCTTGCCAAGCTACGTGTCAGCTGTGAGATACCGATTGCCACAGGATGCAATGCTTGCCAAGAAAGCCGATCATGTTGGCTCTGTAATTGATCAACATCTGTCCTGTATAAAAAGCCAGTGCTGCGAAAACGTGAGAACTTCATTCGAACGGTGCTCGATTCGACTGAATTCGACACGACGTGACAGGGACCAGCTGTGGACCGCCAACTCGGATCGACAGAGCTCTGAGAAAAGGCAAAGATGCCGAAAAATTAGACGAATAAAGTGACTATCGTCTTTAATATTGTGCTCATCTTTGCCTTGCTGTTATAGCTCAGCGTACGGCCGACTTTACAGCACAAAGCACAGCTATCAGAAAGTTTCTCTGATTAGTCAGTTTCTAACAGCTGATGACTAGTAGGATGACGATGTGAAGGAGACCACTTTAACAAATTTTTTCGTAAAATGTCCAAATTATTATTAAAAAGGAGTAGTGGGCTCAATTCTGTTACTATTATCTTGCACTATTACCACTTATACATCCTAGAATAAAAAAATTTCATCCACTCATGTTAGAGTAGTTGGTTCGTTGGTGGTAAGCCTTAGTTTTAGTAAATCTAATAGATTTTGATCCAACAAAGAGAAAACAGTGATTATTAAAAGACCATCACGCTCTCCACTATCCTTCTTTTCTTTTGTGAAACTTTTTATTGACTGTACAGCTTCATAGCAAATAAGAATTTTGTTCCACAGTATTCTTTCCTGTAGAAATTCAGAGGATGAGCACGATGTAGTTCGAGTCCGCATTTCCAGTTTTAACTTTAGGTTATATCCTAGGATAATTTCTAAGGTTCAGATCACTTAATTCACAAAACATATAACGATGCTGAACCGACATGTCACATGAAGGTGCGGCGTAATGAAATCTGGCGCGTTACGGAAGGGTGCAATAAAATGACCAAAATCAGCGGTTTTTTATGCGTATGTACGATCGTAGTCTGGCATCAGAAGTTAATTGAATCGTGATGACGAAACAGTCGTCTTTTAGCATGCTGAAGACGACCGGACGGCGACTGTCGCGAATTGCCGCGTCGCCGCGTCCACGAACGCGGAACTACACCTTGGGTAACATGCCGCCGCCTCCGGCAGTTAACATTCGCACTCATGACATGATTTCCCCACAAGAACGCAGGTAGTTTTATAGATTAGAACTTTACTGTTCACAATAGAATGTAATATGTTGGAAGAAGATGTATCGGTCTGTAGAGTTCTGCTTTTAAAATCATTTTCTTAAGAACATTCATTATTCTGATCCTGAGGGCGCAAGTGGCGCACTGGTCGGAGGCGCTCTGCAACACGCACTTGGAATTGGTCTCCGCGCCCATGGCCCACTAAATCCTCCATTCTTCCAGGGTCGGTAAATTGGTGCCAAACTTGTCTAAGAGGATAGCAGCAATGACTCGATACATCGATAGGTCACAGCGAGTCATTGCAAAGGCCTGATATGCATTCAATCACCTTCAAACGATGCTAATGAAGTCGAATGAATGGCGTATCCTCAAGGATTGGATTGATGAACGCCGAGTGCTTCATCCTTTTTCCTTTTACTCCTTATTTTGAGCTAGAAAAGACCCCACCAATTCCGATTGTTTTTTCCACTATTTAAACCTATTTATCCATGTTTTTCTAATACTTTTTGTCTATAAGGAGCACAAATTACGAGTGCTGAGATGTCGATTTTCTCCACAGGCCGACCACTTTTCAGATTTCTGGAGGCGGCTGAGCGAGGCGATAAACCCACACTTCAGGAGTGCCTGCTAAAGGTGATCGTTGTCTCCCAAATATTTATTTTAATCTAGAACTAAGGTTTACCAGTAATTTTTTTATGGACTCTATGCTAAAGACCAGTACAAGCAATTGTAGTGCAGAGTAATAATTTCTTTCAACCTACAAATCTCTCTAAGGTGTGTTACATCGAAAAGCATATAGATCACTAGAGAGTACAATATGAGAAATTCAATACAAAGATGATTTGTTAAAATAACAAACGTCATTTTTTAAAGATTTCAGAAAGATGGTGAAGCACCATTGAATGTGAACTGTCTGGATTCAATGGGACGATCTGCACTGGAAATCGCAGTCGATAACGAGAACATTGAGGTGCTTAGGCCAAAATGGTCTTTTTATTTGTTCTTTATGAATGCAGATAACACTTGGCGAGGTGCGGTATAATGGAGAGACAATGACTTCCTTTCTGTTGCTGTTTCTGTACAATCGGTTTGACGTTACCGCTATGGCCGTTGTTCCCCCGATCAATCGATAATCATTAATTTTCAAACTTTCAACTAAGAACAATGAAACAGACGATTTAAAACGGTCTCAATTAATCTGAGAAGTCGGAGCCGTAGACAAAATCGCACTTTGTTTTTAGGTTGTCGACTTGCTTCTCAAACATCCGGATATTCGAATCGGTAACGCCTTACTCTGCGCTATTCGTGAAGGTCTGTGCCGATTTGCTATGGTCTATTGCTCTGTACATACTATCTTCGTGTTCATTTCGGACAACCTTTTTCAGTGGTTGTTCATCAAGATTAGTCAGGCAATACTAACACTATAGGTCTTAGGATGGTTAGATTGATACAGGCTTCAGAATCTCTTCACCTATTTTTTGCGAAAGAAGGTAATATTTTGGCACAAGATTCAAGATGGAATCTTCCAAAATAAGTGTCGAATCTGCAGCTATTTCTTTCTAAAAAGAATGAGATTTCTGTGCTCGAAATCGATTCCGTTGTCTAGTGATCATCAAATTTAACCAAAGACCTTCACAACCAAACATTTTCCTATGGTTTTCCAGGCGTCTATCGATTAGTTGAGATGCAAGTAAATCACCCATCGATCACGAGAGAGATGCTTGGTGACGGGTGGAGTGAGCACCTAGATCCGGCCGAAGCAGCATCGGCTGAATATTCAAGGTTGGTTCGCTGGTTACGGTAGGAGCCGAGGATATGCCACAGTCATAACGCTACCGTTTACGCGAAGCTAGTCCATTTCTGGTAGACCACTTCCGGCTTTTTCTGGCAGAGTATGCTATAGCAATAACAGACAAAGCTTTGATCAGTCCTTCACGGGTGCACTGTGTAGTCATCTCTGCTTTGAACATCCTAGGGGCTATTAAATCCATGTTTGAACCTACATGGGGATTTATGGCGGCTTAATGTTACAGTATGTTAGGCGGGATCGAACCAGCACTCACGTGTGTACAACAGAACACCGTTAACCACTGCGCTGCACTCACACCTGCAAAATACTTGCGTATTAAATTTCCGAGGTCTTCTAAGCCTGGCATTTCACACAGTAGGAAGATTTTTTGAGAAAGCTTTCTCAATTGAGCGTGTTTTTTCTGCGTTAGAATTCAATTTAGGATTACTAACATCCATCGCATTGACTCAACGTTTCCTCAGGGCAAATGGTCATTAAATTCGCTCTATACTGTTTGTTTCAGTGATATCTCTCCAATTATCCTGGCGGCCCAGCTGAATCAATTCGAGATTCTTCAGATGCTGCTTAGAAAGGACGCAAGAATCGAGAGACCACATCGGTGAGACTCACAAATTCATGGAAAACGAAATCCAGCTGTAACATACAGGCTGGAAAAAATAGTAAGAAATAATTTTGAGCATAAGACTGAATTTTTAACGAATCATGTGGATTTGAAGTGTCAATAAGCAGAAGCTTAACTACATTAAGGGATTTCTGACACGCTTGCGCCATTCACTAGCTGATGTTCAAAGCAATTGATAACCGAAATCTCTAAGAAAATCGCTGCCCTTATAGAATACCTGGCAGTACTGGCAGTACTCCTTCTGGTCACTTGACTGTGGAAGCAGTACATTTATCTATTGTTGCATTTGCTAGGAATCACCGATAGCTTCTGCTGTGGTGGAATATAGACATCAAGAAAATCAGCATCCACTTCTAGGTACTCTTGCATTTGCGAAACGTGTGATCGCGAACGACTCAACGACTCGCTACAGTACTCGCTGAAGCGGATCAACACCTATCGAGCACTGGCGAGTCCTGCTTGGATGAGCCTTACAAGGTTTTCTTCATTTTTCTTCTGCGTTAACTTGGGCAAATAAATTTTTAGCTCAATCAAGAGCAACAGCACAAATAGATTAATGGAACAATATGAACACCAATTGAAATACTTCTTTATTTTTTTTTGTTCTTCACTAATGTGCATTGGAAGCCCCTGTTTGACCACAACTACATGTAAACAATAGCTGTATTTCCCTGTTCTTTCCTCCGTTGATCGTTGAAGAAAAGCTTCACACTAAGCGTCCACTGAACAACAACCTCCGTTTACTTCATGCGTAGTAGGAGGATAGTTCACTTTAAACGAGACTCTCAACGATTTTGCGAGAGAGTTTTCATCGTTTAACCGCTACCTCTAGTGAAAGTACATTACAGTTAGCTCATCGGATTTTCTATTGACAGAGGTGACTCTTAACTGTTCAACCACACATCGTCAATCATGTGCTTCCATCTAACTCAATGGATTCTAACCGAATTAACGTATCACCTGTGTAATCTGTAGTTGCGTTGATTGTCGAGTGCTTGAGCTGGCGCAAGTAAATTTTCCATTTCTTCTGCCTCATGCAGGAGTAGTCCTGTGAGTTCTGTTCAGTCGAGGAACACGTTGAGCATCATACGTTTCTTCTAAGCTTTTCGTGGAGAGAAGTCTGATAATCGGGTCGGTAGTATCCTTGCAGTACGTCTAACATTTTGCGAAATTCAGTTACTAGTGGTTTTTGTCCATCGATTGTTGTTCATACGCACCACTTCGACAGTTTGGTGCACAGAACGGCCTTTGATTCTTGATCGTTGACTCAGGTCGGGGTTTCGGATCCCTTCCCTTACTTGTGTGGTTCCAGGATCAACTTTCTGTTAACCTGGTCATTGAATTACAAATACTTCGTTTTCCTTTTCAGCAAACGCGAGGTTGTTATACATGTTTTTTGAAAAGAAGTAAACGTCTGCTGTATAAAAACCTCGCGACTGCTGAAAAAGAAAATAACGCATTTGTACTTTTAACATCGTCCTTTCGACAGCGCTTTCAATAACTCTGCGCAACTTTTTATCTTTCTTACGTAGCGACCAGGATAAAGACGCATAAGTTAAGGCAGGAAGTACCATTGAGTCGAAAAGGTGGGCAGGAAGTCCTGTGTTCTTTGTTCTCTTCGCTGTATCCCCGATGCTCTTGAATGTTCCCCAATCTCTCGCTTCCTCCTGCTCAACTCTGGAGATGAGTCTTTTACAATCCTTATTTCTTAATCTAGAAGACGTAATGGGTCCATTCCGAGATGGTCATTCCGTTGAGCGTGAATTGAGCATACGTAACCAATCCGTTTCTCATAAACATTGTTTTTGTGTGATTTAGTCGAAGACGAGTTTCCACAGTCTTACTCAAAGTCGGCAAGCATTCATTCCTCTTGGCTAATGTTTGTTGTTATAACAACGATGGCGTCAGCAAAGCGATGATGGTATAATTTCCGACCACCGATTTTCACTGCACTGCTGCTCCATTCTGTTCGCATGACGTTCTGGAGGGTGGCGGCAAGTAATTTTGGCGAGGTGGTATCGCCTTGCCTAACACCTCTTTTGACGTCGATGTGAATGGTGATATCTTGGTCGCGAAGTTCTTATACAGCTTACCAAAATTCTTCATACACTGAGTAGGGATTCCCTAACTGTGCAGGGCTTCTATGACTGCTTCTATCTCAACTGAGTCAAATGCTTCCTTTACATCGATGGAAGTGAGACACAGCGGTCTTTTGTACTCTCGTGATACTTCAGTGAGCCTTGTTACTGTGTGGATGTGGTCTACCGTACTAAATCCTTTCGAAACCCTGCTTGCTCACACGGCTGTCCTTCGTCCATTGTTCTGTCAATCGTGTTTAAAATGACTCAAGTGAAAACTTTGTAAACGACAGGCAGCAACCAGATTGGGCGATAGTTGCCGATATCGTGTAGGTCACCCTTCTTGAACAATAACACGGTTTTGCTGGCCTTCCACTGAATGGGGACTTTGTATTCAAACAGATAACGTGTGAAGAGCTGAGTGAATGTGTTTACGAGAACTGGCGGAATGTTCTTTAGGTGTTCAGATTCTATCTTGTCCATTCATGGTGCTGTTCGATTTTTCACGGACAAAATGGCATGTCGGATTTTGGAATGGAGAACCGGTGGTACAACATATCCATCCTCCTTTTTTCGTATGAAGGTAGGAGGACGTGACTACCGAAGAGATGTGAGTAGTGATGGTGAATGATTTTTTCTATTACGCTTTTGGAAGCTGTCACTATTTCGTTTGGGAGTTGGCGTTGAGTTACCCAGTTTTGTAAATGGTGATTTCTAGTGGGCTTTGTGATTACTCTTTTTGGCCTTTGTGGCTTCGACCATTACTGCTGCTCTTCTCTTTAAGATTTTCCTTTGTCGACTGTCTACATTGTTCTACAAGTGCGGACGTGAGCTGACGGTAGCCTGTAGCTCGTACTACTCCACGCTGGCGTATCAGCTCCAATGTTTCTCGATGAAGACGTCTCTGGGTGATTGGTTCGAGACTGGACGTTCGATACTTTTGAAATCTCCGCTTTTATAGCGCTAACATAAAGATATTGAATGAGCAGATCGTACTAGTCGTCGATATTACCGAGGTCGGCATCTTTCCAATAGCTGACTAATGAATTGGATAAATCCCAGTTTACGGTGATTTTGGGTTTTCGGTTTTTGAATATAGTCACCTTTTCTTATTTCCACGGGAGATGAAATCTTGCAAGAAGGACGCGGTGGTCTGATGGTTCGATCCCTTGTAGAATTCTGGGAAAACAGGGACACGGGTTGGGCAAAACTTTTGATTTACTATGATGTGGTCTATTTCGTTATTGTACTCCCCATTGGAAGATTCCTATATCCAGCGTTGAGAATGGGGCTTCTGCAATAGCAAGTTACCAAGAATGGTTTTGATCGTCATAATAAACACATATAGCCTCTCACCCTGCCGTTCCACCGTAATCCGGGGGTCCCAATATGAGGTTGTTCAGACGTCTTTCTGGGTTCAATCTTAGCATTAAAATTTCTCCAAGTCCACATAGAACGCTTCGACTTTTTCTTCGTCGTAGTTTGATGTCGGTGCATAGACGACGAAGGTCGTCAAAACCGTTATGGATCCACATCTTTTCAGTTGTAAACCCCCGGCTCGGATTCACTGAATCGTCTCGTCTCGGCTAGGCCGATGACGTCGTACCTTATTTTTCCTGCCTGCATGATCAAGTCTTCTATCGAGGACTCGGATGCAAGTGTACGTGCATTGTAGGTACAGATCGCCACCTTAGTTCTCTGCGATCCAAGGAGCTTACGTTGGCCATGAGACGTTAGCAGCCTCTCCGCACTCGGCCTACCCAACGCTGGTGAATGGGGGGCTTCTTCAAAGCAGGGAAATGAAGTCCGTTTATTTTGCTGTGTTTAGCTTATTGATAGTCTCATATGCCTTTCTGATCTCTAAACGTGGGGGCTGGGTATACTTACGGATAGCTTATCAGTCTCTACCAGAGCAGACATGCCGTATTAACGTACAAGAAGTAATCTGTAAACATCCACCCATCGCAACCACCCATCTATGTCTTTGTATCATGAAGTGTGTGAGAAACATGTAAGTTACTATGACAGAGTTGATATATGGAAGGAAATATTCCTTGAATCCGTTCGAACTCCTCCATAAGCCTACCGGAGACCTGCTTCGCGACTATGCGATTCGAGGCTTCCTATGAGGATTTAGAAAAAACCCGTCGACAAACGAACGAACAATAATGAACTGTTTGTATGTAAATAAAAATTGTTGAAGAACCTTTAATTTTATCTTGTTCATTAACCTGAAGATGATTTCAGTCCCGATCCCATTCTTTCCGCGTTCAAGCTTAGCTGGGAATTGCAACAGTTGGCTGTGGTTGAGCACGAGTTCAAGGAAACCTACTTACAGGTATGAAGACTTTTTCGTTTTCTAAATGCTGAAACATATTCTGTAAAGAGAATGGAAGGTCTTTACAAGTCGGAAAATTCAGCTTGCCGAACAATGCAAGCAATTCGCCTGCGATCTCATTAGCCAATGTCGAAGCAGTGAAGAGGTATTGGTTCGTACGGGATTTTCTACTCACAGAGGGCCAGATTTGTGCGTATTTTAGGTGATCGCTGTTCTCAACAAAGATTGTAACGCTCACGACGAAAATGTGGATGTGTGGGCTTCGAAGCTGAGCTTATCCCGTTTGAAGCTGGCCATCAAATACGAACAAAAAGCGGTAAGATATATTCGATTTCTGATGGCCCTCTACAGCTTACACTAAGGATGAATAGTGCTGACAATACTTTCTGATCAAAAGACTCTTTAAGTCTCTTGTCTAAATTAAATAAAATCATTCATGCTAAAGCACCGACACGATATTGGACTTATACTTCTACCACTTTGTTGCTTAAACACCTCTCTCCTTGGAGTTTGTGGTTTAAAATGGAGCTCAAGATGCCCGACCTTGCACTTTGAATCACTTTCAAGCAGAAAGTTGCCACTGTAGGCAGACAACAAAAGTTTCAAAACTACATAGATAATGTTTAACGTTTCGTTTTCTGCCTTCTATAATTCTCATGGCAGGTTACAAAGCGAAATACAACCACAACGTTGCTGAGATATTTGCAAAACGCTGGACCGCAGGTGTCTATGGTGGAGAACGAACGCGCTGTTGTCCTTTCCGGGGAGTAACGCGTTCACCACCACACCATGCGGGTCCTTTGTTTCGCCTATTTCTCAGCTATTTCTATCGATCTTAGCTGAGAAAGAAATAGCTGAGAAACAGGCGAAACAAAGGACCCGCATGGTGTGGTGGTGAACGCGTTACTCCCCGGAAAGGACAATAGCGCGTTCGTTCCCCACCATAGACACCTGCGGTCCAGCGTTTTGCAAATATCTCAGCAACGTTGTGGTTGTATTTCGCTTTGTAACTACATAGATAATTAGAAGAAAAAAAGTCAATACGAGTACGAAGTGAAAGCGAACTAGAATTTTTTCCAAACGGATTCGAAATAAAAATGAAGTGGGCAAACGGAGAACGAAGACTGCTGTTTTAGAAAGGTCGATGAGCTATTATAACTTCACTAGGTTTTATCCTTCGCCTGCATCTTTTTGGAAGGGCACAAAGAAAAGATTCTACTGGCAGACCATGGAGAAAAGAAATCACCGAAGAACAAAACGCGCAATACATTCGCATTTAGCACCATCAAGATGAATGACTATATATTTGGCAATAACACACAGTGAATTGCGGAGGTCTACCGGTGAATGAAATCAGTGATTTTATTCTCCCATGCAACCCTGGTATCAATTTGCCCACCTCTGGGAGATGAAGGGTGATTTGTCAGCCCAGGACGCTGAGTTGAACGAACCTATGTGTTGCAAAAAAAAATTCGTGTTCATAGATTTTAAAGCTCCTCCATTGTTACACAACCATTTTTGTTTTCATTCTTCCATATTTCTTGGGATTCAATTGTTTATTATGTTGCAGTTTGTCTCTCATCCCCATTGTCAACAACTGCTCACATCGATTTGGTATGAGGGATTTCCCGGCCGACAGCAGCGCGGATCGGCATGGAATATCATCGTCTGCATCGCTTTAATCATTCTTTGGCCTGTTCTTGCTGTCTGCTACATTTTAGTGAGTCCACATCAAAATTAACGCGGAGTTCTGCAAAAGGAAACTATTTTTCTCTTCGAATATTCGATCATTCTCCCACTCTTATGGGAGTTTTTAAATGTTGATGAATGGAAATCGCAAAATCGCAGACATAACGAATGAGTTCCATCCACTGAAACAGAGAATGTCAGGACATGAACTATTTCCGATTCCTCTTGTCCTCAACGCTTAGAGATTGTTCTTGGAAATTTCGACATCACTGTCATTTACTCAGTAGAGTGCAAAGAAATGCTAAAAATAAATGCTAGAACTTTAGATTTTTGTAACTGGAAAGTGATCTCGTTTCTATATCTATTTAAAGAGAGAGACAGGCGAAACGAAGGACTCGCATGGTTTGGTGGTGAACGCGTTAGCCCCCGTAAATGGTAATAGCGTGTTGGGTGCTCAACGCAGACACCAGCGGTCCGGAGTTTTGCAAATATCTCAGCGACATTGTGGTTCTATTCAAGGAGCTTTTCAGCGTGTTCTTTCTCCCTCTAATAAACGTAAAAGTAGTTCTCAGAATCGACTTTGTATTCTTCGAATTTATTTTTTCACTCATTCTATTTATTTATTCTATTTTTTTTACCTCTTTACTTTTCTATTTCGACAGGATCTAAACCTAGAAATATTTTAATTAATTTCAAAAACATTCAAAACCCAACTTTACTTTAACCTATGCATGGCTAATCGCCATGAATCTTTTTATTGTTAAGCTGATGAAAGGCTGGGAAAAAACCTTATTCGACTGACGTTCGACGTCTTCGCCTTTCTGAAAGCGGGATTGCTTTGAGACGACTGTCCATAGAAAGCACACATCGGAAGAAGGATGGAGCGCGAGCAAACGATTCGGAATAATTCGGCTGTGGGGAAGGCGGAGGCGCCGAATCGCTTTCAGAGAAAAGTTTTTTATCAGCCTTGTGTTAGCTTATCAACGAAAAAATATATCTTAGTTAATATTAACTGAAATTTTCGCACCGTTTGAAAAAGTAGCTAAACAATAGGGTATCTGACCTTATGATTGAGCTGTAGCTGAATAGAAGTCTTGTTTCATAAAATAATGCTTTATACCAGTTTTTTTCCTCTGTAAAATCAGAGAACAGTGATTAAAGGTCTGTTTCAGATGCCAAAGAGTCGCATTGGTCGAATCGTTCGCTCGCCTTTCATGAAGTTTCTGTACTACTCCATATCATTCGGCTGCTTTCTTCTGTTGTTAACTTTGGCCACGTTTGAGAGCTACCGAAGTGAGAAAGGAGAGCGGAAGGTGAGATTTCCCATCAGCGTCCTACCGTACAGTGCTAGCGTGGCCTTCAGAATATGAGTTGTTCCTTTTTTTGTTTATGGAACCGTGTATGGAGCTTATGTATAGTTTTGTAGCGGTATCGCTTTGAAAATACCATCGCGGGTCTTGCCATAGGATCATCACAAAATAGTAAGGGCATTTTTTGTGCTTAGTAACGTATTTAAACTTTTCCACAGTCGCTCTTGAAGCTGGGAGCTGTAGTTCTACTACTAAGGCGAATGTTTTGTGAATTTGATTTGAAAACGTAGATGAGAAAGTGGTCCGCATTACTTGAAAAACTGACTTTCCTTCAACTTCGGAATGTCTATTCAACATGTATTCTTTTAGTGATAAGCTAACATGAGGCCAATAAAAACACTTTATTGGTTTAATGCTTCTGCGCGTTCACCTTTTCCAGAGCCGGTTTGTTCTGAGTTGATGTCCATTCTCTCTGAAGAAGGCGAGGGCGCCGAAACGTTAGCGGAATAAAGTGTTTTTTCAACCTCATGTTAATTTATCAATAAAAGAATGCATACTGATTACTTTACATTGACTGCAAAAGTGTTTGTTACCTCCTAACGATAAATCGCACTTTTTCTTAATAGCCTGAAGATTTCACTGATTTTACAGGGCGGTGGGAAAACGCGGGCGTCTGATCGTGGCCCTCCACCGACCATCATCGAATCATTGGTTGTGGCGTGGGTTCTCGGTGAGCACGATCTGATTCATTAGAGTCTTTAATAGTAAAACATGTTATCTATAAAGTGACAGAAGAGTGCTGGGGTTACGCATGCTCTGCAATGCTCCTTTGAACACTGGTTCGGTTCTAAGACCTGAGCAAACCAAGCCTCTATGGTGTTGGATCAGAAAAAAATAGGGATCACAGCTTTGAATTGATACATCATAGGCTTTCCCAACTTATCCGATAACCCCTTGAGATCCAGTTACCTCTGTAATTCTTACTATAGCTGAACGCATAACGCATTCCTAAGCGATTAATCAACGTCGAACGCGTTATCGTTGATCCTTTTGTAAGGAGAGACAACGACCAAAAACTTAACGGTGTTTTAATGGGTGTTTATGTGGTCGTGACGTTTTTAGCATGGTGAATTTTTTTCCAGTTTTAGACGGTGGTTTAACATTCCCCGCACCTACTTTCTCCAACTAGGCGCCGATAGCACAGGGGTAGTGTTGTGCGTCATCGACCATGGTGCTTGTTTGATTCCGCTCTAAGCAAACCAAGCTTCCCTCCGGGGTCGGGAAATTGCTACTGGTCTTGTCTGGAAAAAAATCACTCTTTGCAATGCAATTGGGAACGCTCCTGCTTTGGTAACTCAGGACTCCAGAGAGAATCGCTCGACCAGCATTCTACGGCATTCAAGACGAAGTGAAAATCCTCAAGCAGCAACCGGAAAATTTTTTTCATTATCTAATGGTTGTATTAAGCTATTGAAATTTGTAGAAAGACTTTTTAGATGAGGGAAGGCCTTGAAATTCTTAGTTGAATACTTTGAATTTCAGAGAATTAGGATCGTGGTTAACAATTCTTTGCAGAATTTTAGGATGAAGAAAAGTTCTGTGAGAGACTAAAGTTATGACCTCATGTAACAAAGTGTCTACAACACTTACCGTTGGGTCAGTATGTCACACAAAAAACCTTCATTGACATTCGTTTTGGGCGACTTAGTTCTGAGATAAATCCATGCCATTCCAAGAATTTAATGTTCGGTAACAATATCTTGTTTCGCTAGCATGGTTATATCAGACTGTCATCAGACCATTGCAAAAGTTTAAGAATCAAAACATTAAAGGAGGTGAAACATTGAAAGAATTAAGAGGAGGCGGTTAGCACAATGGTTGTGATATCGGTCATCACTACCACTGTGCTAGTTCGATTCCACTCTGGGCCAACCAAGCCTCTCATCTCTACGGAGTGGGGAAATTGGTACCGGACTCCTCTTTCTGCAATCCAATTGGGAACGCTCTATCTCGGCTATCTCAATACTCCAGGGAGAATTGCTCCATCAGCATTCTAAGACGGTCATGATGAAATGGAAATCCTCAAGCAGTAACTGAAGCCACACATAAAAACTTCGAAGACTTTAGTGGATGATTGATGGGAGGAAGCGAACTGGATGTGAGAAATACTGGGATCCGGTTAGTAGGCGTGAAGACGGATTAAATGAAATAAAGTTGAAAAAAATCTTTTCCAACTTCTAAAGTGAACTTCTGATGTAAGTGAACTTTCACTTAACGATACTTGAAATCAGGAATGCTGTGGTCGGAGATAAAACAGCTGTGGGAGGAAGGATTCACTAAATATATTCATCAATGGTGGAATTGGCTTGATTTCATCATGATCTGCTTGTATTTATGCACAATTTCAGTCAGGCGAGTCCCACGTTTTGTCCTTTTTTCCTCGAATTTTTTTGGAAATTCCGGATTGATCTGAGTCACCGAATTTATGTGAACTAGTACTTCCTCGAAAAATCATATTGTGGACAGCGATTATGATCTCTTCACGAAAGCTAGTGATTTGAGACCAGAGTAGTAACTAATGATGAAAAATACTGCAAATATTCCACATTGTGGAAAAAGAATAGGCAGCAGAATAAAAAGTGACGACATTGTGATTTATACTGCAGCTTTAGCTTAACTGGGTTCAGTGCCAATTTGTGCTCCCCATATCAATTCCGGGTGATCGCTGACAGCACCTATAGGTCAAAAACACGGCTGAGAAAAAGACGAAACGAAGGACTCACATGGCGTGGTGGTGAACGCGTTAAACCCCGGAAAGGGCAATATCGTGTTCGGTTCCCATCGTAGGCACCAGTGGTCCCGAGTTTTGCAAATATCTCAACATCATTATGGTTACATTACCTACCATTCTTCAATTTGTGAGTTAAGGAGTGTCAGCTTAAAGTCAGCAGGATGGTGATCGTACCTGCTAGGTCACCTAGTTAATCACAGTATACATTGAGGAAACACAGTTAACAGTCAGTTTTACTACAGTGGAGTCCATGTCTAACCTAAATGTGGGTATAGTTCTCCAAAAAACTTGTTGTGGGAGCTCCATGCACATAGGTTATAAATTTTACGTGCTTTGATCGATTTGTTTGGAGCTGGAAAGTCCCCATTAATCCCGTTGACGGGTGATTGCTAATGGCACTGGTAGATAGAAAACTAGCTGAGAGAAACAGGTAGCAATGGCTTCTGTGGCACAGTGTGCAATATGCCGGCCACCAGAAAGGAAAATCGTGGTTCGATCTGGCCCGGGTTCCATGTTTTGCGAATGTCTCAGCAGCGTTGTTATTGATTTCGTATAATATAACCTGTCGTAAAAATTGTAATAGGCAGTAAATAAAAAGGTAAACATTACATTTATCAAGTTATACAACTTCTTAGTTACGGCCTGTTATTTTCTAATGCCAAGTTATAATGTAAAATATAACCACAATTATGCCGAGATATCTACAAAGCTCATACCCCACGCCTGATTAGAAGCTGCGATCACTGTTTCCGGAGGTTCAGGTTTTATGCACGGCAGAACTAAGACTCTCGTTCTGCTCTTCTCTCAGCCAGTTTTTTGCCCTCGCGGTCTCATCTGCAACACCCGGAACGGGAATGGTCTGGGAAGCACAAAATAGCATTGATCCTAGTTAAACTGAGGCTGTAGTCGAAATCACAATGTATCACTTTTTACTAACCTCCTATTATTGCCTTCGTGGAGCAAAAACTGGTTGCGAGAAAGGCAAAGCAAACGTCTCACTGGTGCACTGAGTAACACGTGAGCCCCAGAAGATGGTCATCAGTTCGAATCTTCTCTGGGATCAGAGTTTTAGAAATATCTCCACATAATTGTGATGAACTATCAGTTAGCGATAATAAAACATAGGCTTTTTATCGGTTAAGCCGCACAAGCAATTCACACGGCCTTTGGAGCATCGAGCGCAGAGGTTAGCGCTGGAATGGATGGACGGTATTCAATCAAGTTTTCAAAACGGCGAACAAAAATATGGATTTTTCTGGTGTTCGAGCCTCATTTCTGCTGACCGAGAACACATGAGGAACTGGCGTTTAATGTTTTTATTTAAATTATGCGCTGGGTTACTTCAACTTCCAACTGAATTGTTTTTCAATTTTTATTTACTGCGAACCATTTTTAATGACAGGGTATTATGTGAAATATAATCACGGCGTTGCTGAGATACTTGCAAAACTCCGAACCGCTAGTGTCTGTGGTGAAGACCAAACACGATATTAACCTTTCCGGGGGCTAACGTGTTCACCACCACGCCATGCGTGTACTCCTTTTCACCTGTCTCTCAGCCGTAGAATTGGTTTTATTTTCTTTATACATCCTTGTATACACCCATTCATAATTTAGATTAAGCGCTTATTGGATCTTTAATGCCTCGGACAATCAACAACGGTACTCAATCCGAACATTCTGGCATGCTTATGAGCCAATGTTGGTGGCTGAGGCGCTGTTCGCTGTTGGAAATGTATTCAGGTAATTCTTGCTCGTTGAGTTAAGGTTGATCCTCCCTCGAATGCTTCTGCTTCTAACGACCATAAACCACATCATCACAAATAAAATAAAAAAGAAGGTCAAAGTGGAAGAAAGGATAAAAATAGTTATTGCCCTATTGAAAGCAGTAAGCATATTAAAACATTCAAATAGTGTGCAGGAAGCTTGCTGTAAGTGGAACTACTACCATCTTTACTACAATTGCTGATTGCTTCTTCTAAATCTCTGTGGTTTTATAATGTTCTACTATTTCTTGCTTATTTTGCCAACTATTTCAGTTTTGCTCGCATCATCTACCTTTTCCAAACGAACCCCTATCTTGGGCCCTTACAGGTTAGCCAATACTTTTTTCCAGAATTTCCGTAAATATACATTTATTCACTACCGCCTCTGTGCGTATAGTATTTTTGCTTAAAAGGATAAAAGGATAAAGCTCTCGGCGTTGATCAATCCTTAAGGGATATGTCATGAATTCGACTTTATTAAGCATCGTTTTGAGGTGATTGAATGCACATCTGGCCTTTACAATGACTCGCGGTGGTTTATCGATGTATCGATGTATCGAACCAGTGCTGCTATCCTCCCAGACAAGTCTGGTAGCAATTTGCCGACCTCGGTGGATGGAAGGCTTGGTGGACTATGGGCGCGGAGATCGATTCCACGCGTGTTGCAGGGCGCCTCCGACCACTGCGCCACACGCGCTTTTTGCTTATACTTCACGTTTTCAATCGATTGCTTTCTGTCGGTCACATTCTGGAATGTCTTTTATTAAGTCCATTGCTTCGTTAAGATCACTTTTTTTATGCTAGTGACTTCAAGTTAAATTATGATTTCGGTTTCGAATCTGTAGGAGAAGCTCGGCAGCTATTGGATACAAATGGTATATGCTGGTAACCAGCACATGTATTGCGTTCGCAAGTCGTTCATGGAAAAGCGTCACTCGTTTCCAACCTAAAAACTTCTTGTGTCTGGTTTTTTGTTATAATCGGACTGAGTCGCCTTCGTTTTATCATCTACAGATTCCCAGTCCAACTTTCAGAATAGAAATAATATTTCGAAACCGACTTTCTCTAAACCTCGGTGTGACTAATCAATATGTATTCTTTCTTGATAAGCTTGCACGAGGTTGATAAATATATTTATTTTCGGCTAACGTTTCGACGTCTTCGTCTTCCTCAGAGCCGATGATCCGAGCCGATGGTCCATGATTGTTGTTCGTCTCGACGTTGCAGCTTTGCCTTCGTGGTTTAGAGAAAGTCGGTTTCGAAATATTATTACTGCGCTTTGTGCTAGCTGATAAAAACACCGACTTCTGCACGATGTGCGCAACGATGTATNAAGCTGCAACGTCGAGACGAACAACAATCATGGACCATCGGCTCGGATCATCGGCTCTGAGGAAGACGAAGACGTCGAAACGTTAGCCGAAAATAAATATATTTATCAACCTCGTGCAAGCTTATCAAGAAAGAATACATATTGATTAGTCACACCGAGGTTTAGAGAAAGTCGGTTTCGAAATATTATTACTGCGCTTTGTGCTAGCTGATAAAAACACCGACTTCTGCACGATGTGCGCAACGATGTATACCCGGAAGAAACACAAGTTGTTACCACCGGTCATTATCATCCACCATCAGCATCGTGTATAAAAGAGCATCACTGAGTGAGGATGCCTCATTCGAGAAGATGGATCACTGAGGAAGACCTGGCTCGACACGAAGGCGAAGCTGCAACGTCGAGACGAACAACAATCATGGACCATCGACTCGGACCATCGGCTCTGAGGAAGACGAAGACGTCGAAACGTTAGCCGAAAATAAATATATTTATCAACCTCGTGCAAGCTTATCAAGAAAGAATACATTTCAGAATAGAGCTCATGCTCATATAGCACAATTGTTAGAGAGGCCCTACAATACACGCTGGATCGAACGCTCCACGGATTTGGAAAATTGGTGCCAGACTTGTTTGGGAGGATACCAGCACTGACTTGATATATCGCTAGACCAGTACAAGTCGTGTAAATGCCAGATATATTATACATCAATTCAAATCAACAATGCTTGAGGAAGTCGAATGCATGGTGCATCCTTCATAGTTTGTTCAATGCCGACCGGTTTACCACATCTGGTCATCCTGAATTTTTTGGTGCTGCCTTAGTAGGCGAAAAATGTCTAGACAAAGTTATCGAAGTTACCGCATTCTCTTGTATATCAGAGTGTTTGCTGAGGAATGTGTGAAGAACGAAGCAAATTTCTCTTCAGTCTTCTTCACACTCGTTCCGGAATAAATCTCGGATTTCGTTGAGCTTATTTTGAGTCAGCTGAATTACTCTTTAAATGTATAGTCAGTGACAGAGAGATAAATCAGTGTGGAAAGTTATCCTCACTGTTGTTCTCCGTATCAAGACCTTAAAGGGAACTTAACATGCGTGTTGATCCGACCCGACTGACGACTACTTTGCGTTTTCATTGCAGATTTCTCTTGGATGTATGCTTGTCGACGTTGCCAAGTTCTGTTTTATCTTCGTTCTTATTATAAGCAGTTTTAGCATCGGACTGGCGCAACTCTACTGGTGAGCCTCAAAAACGTTCTTAAAAATCACAGTGTATAAATTTTATCCACTGCCCATTCTTTTTTCACGGCAGGTATTATGTGAAATACAACTACAGTGATGCTCAGATATTTGCAAACCTTGGAACACAGGCCTGGTCGCCCCGTGATTACCCTTCCGAAGCTTCATGCGTTATGTATGGCACCACTGAGGCCATCGTTCTGCTCTTCTCTCAACCAGTCTTTTACCCTAACGCTGCCATCAGCAATCACCCGTCAAGCGGAATTATCTGTGGAGCACAAATCGCGATTTAACCTAGTTAAGAAAAGGCTGTAGTCAAAATCACAGTGTATAAATGCTCTTTTTTTTCTCAGGCCAGTGTATTATGTGAAATACAATCACAATAGTGCTGAGATATTTGCGAAAAGTTGTGATATCGGCTGCAACTTCAGCTTAACTGGGTTCAGTGCCGATTTATACTTCTCAGATCATTTCCATTGACGGGTGACTGCCAATGGCAGCGTTAAAACAAAAATATTGTCGCACTGTATCGATATGTTGAACTGGATGAGAGAACAGAACGAAGGCCTTACTGGTGTCATGCGTAACACGTGAACCTCCGAAAAAGGTAATCGCGACTTGATCTCGCTTGTCGTTCAAGCCTTGCAAATACATTAGCATCATTGCGATCTCAAGAACATTTGCCTACAGATATATTGCCTTTCCAGGTACTACGATCCAGAAACTCCAGTATGCATGACAAATGATTACTGTACTATCGAATCGAACGTGTTTTCGTCGTAAGTTATTGTAGCAGAACCTTTGAAATATCTTAACCTTCAATTCTCTCTGTCGTGTATTCTTATCACTACATCATACAAATTGCTCTTGAAGAATGTATGAGGTGTCGTTTTTTAAACCGTGGCGACATGACGTCTTGATATTGCGGTGCAACCTGTTTATGGTTAAACTTAGACTGATCGCCCCGTTGTGTAGGCCTTTCTTCTTCCATTTATCTCGTCGTTCTGCTGAAAACTCTCACTCATGCCGATGGTTGAGTTTGTGTACGGATTCGGCAACGCTTTCAGGATATGTTGTACCAGATTTGTAACCTCGAAATAGTCGTGCTAGGGTATTCCTGCAACTGTTGGCGCTTGTGGATTAGAGACGTTTGTTGCTTTGAGGATAGGGTATAGGAGAACAGTAATTCTGTGGAGATTCTTGTGATTTGTCGTCTAACTGATTGAGAGTTTCCATCCAGTGAAAATATTATTTGAAAACACTACTTTGAGTAGGTTGCAGTCAACTTGACCTTTCCAGGCTCTGAGGAGGGCGAAATCCGCCGAAACGTTAGCTTGTACGTAAATAAAGAAATAAAATAACCTCTTGTTTGCTGAACAGAAGTAGAAGAAGTAGAAATTATTCAATCAATGCCGAGGTTAATAGAAAGTTGGACGTGGGGGTTACTACTTTGAGTACCATTTTTGCAAGTTTTTTTATTTTCACATCATTCGACATCACACGTTGTGGGGATCGCAATCACTTTTTGCATTGGATTCCTTTCCTCGCATCCACCATCCACAATACTCTTCGAATTTCTTTACGTGCGAGTTCGGCTGTTGCTTGAAGATTTTCGCTCTTCTTTAGAAACTTTGTTGTTTGCTGTTCGAGTCGATTCCTTGTGAAATCCTGGATAACATTGGATGGTGCCCCCCAAGCCTTCACCACAAGCAATCACTAGTCTGTGTAGATCTGAGGAAGCTTTTCCCAAACAACTCTAGTGCCAACTTCCTTACGGTTATAATTATAAAGCATATACCCTAAATTTAATGTTTCAGAACATTCTCGATAATTTTAAACCCTTTCAGAATAGCTGACTCGTATCTAACGCTTTTATGGTCACTGTTTTCGATTACAAAGGTTGAAGATACAGATGTCGTTGAGGTGTGCAAAAAAAGATTAACTCCTTTGAACCGTGGTAGAATTGAGCAACTTAGCAGTTATTTCCTTCAGAATCATCACCTCACTCAATCCGTCGGACGAGCGATGTTCATCATGTACCACTGCACGTCGATAATCGTTCTTTTGAATATGCTGATTGCGATGATGAGCCACTCCTTCCAAATTATCAACGTTGGTCCTTTTAATTTTTTTTTAGCAAAAATTTTTTAGAAGTTGCTGATTGCTGTGAAGAGGCAGGCTTTATGAAACACTCCCACTTACCCAAGTCCTGAACCGTAATTTCCTATAAAAAAAGAATAAAGCTCTCGGCGTTGATCAATCCATGAGGGATGCGCCATGCATTCGACTTAATCAAGCATCACTGGAGGTGACTGAATGCATATCTGGCCTTTACAATGACTTGCAGTGACCTACCGATGTATTGAGCCAGTGCTGCTATCCCCCAGACAAGTCTGGTAGCAATTTGTCGACACCAGAGGGATAGAGTGCTTGGTGGGCCAGGGGCACTGGTATTGACTCCAAGTGTATTGCTGAACGCCTCCGACCACTACGCCACATGCGTCTTGCGATTTTCTGTAGAACAGAATATTTTTGATGCTTGGATGATCACGCTATCCTATGCTCATAGTATTTTCCTAGTATCTCCTAGATCTACGAACAGTATTTCCACAGACCCTTTTCTATCTATTCTTCTCACTTTGTAGGATGAAGTTATAGGTTTTTATTCTTTGAAAAGGTTGGTTTGTTGATCATTCATCGAAATATTTCGCAATTCTGCACCTTTATGGACCAACTTTCTCGAACTGTTCAGCTATTTGCAACAATGAATGTTGCATTTACGTTAAAATGAGATGACCGGTTTGACGACTGAGCTGTAGGTATCTTTCTTGATACTAAGGCCTTTATATGGGCTAAAAATTTCCTCATATCCTTCCAATAAAGTGGTTAGAAAATTTTTCTCCACACCTCAAATACTTCTACAGGCTAAAGTGTATTGTAAAAAATGTTTTTTCTTCCTTAAAGATCCAGGTAAGATGTGACATAGCTGTTCAACAAGTTTAATAACAGTTTTATGGACTAGAGTTTATTGCATATTGCTAAATGGTATGGAGATCACATTGCGTTTCCTCAGATGAAGAACGCGCAGCGTAGAGGTAGAAATGCATTACAACACAGAGGTGGTTCGACCACATGCCCTCGATTTACGAAGCCTCCCATATTTCCCGAATTGGCAAATAGAATGCATGGTGTACCCCTCAAATATCCAGCTTCGGAGGTAGTGATTTCATATCGTTATCTTTGTCATCTGCCAAAAGTGATGACATCACTGCACATCGTGTCATTAGAAGACCTGTATCAATATTTTTCGTCCACCTAACTTTTGTTAATGCAGCTTTAAATAAAATACGCTTAGGATCATGCGGATTTGGAATGGAAATTTCATCGTACGAAGCTGTGGATGGCACACTTTGACGAGGGATCGAGTTTGCCGCCTCCGTTCAACATTATTATCACACCAAAGGTACAGAGATGACGAAAATGTTAAAACTCTTTTCTTATCCATCTTCTTGCATTAGCTATTTAAGCTGTTTTTTCAACATACTGTTCGTTAAAGATATGCCTTTTGTTATTTGATGAGGGAGTGGATAACATATAGTGATGCGGATGGTCACGAGCACAGCGCTAACTCGATCCCACTCCAGCCTGACTAAGAGTCTCATCCCTTCAGAGTCTGGAAATTGGTACCGGACTTCACTGGAAAAAAAAATCGCTCTCTGTAGTCCAAGTGGAAACGCTCCAGCTCGGTCTCTCAGGAGTCCAGGGAGAATCTACTCGATCAGCATTCTACATCACTCATAAAGAAGACAAAATCCTTAGGCAGCAGGCCAACGGGCGAAAAGGCGTTCTGGCGAAAAGCTCAACGACCTTCGCGGATGATGGATGCGAAGAATCGAATAGAATGCAAAGAGCACTGAGATCGGCACATTAGATGTAGAGTTGGGTCGTATGGAACAAAAAAACAAATCAATCATCATAAATCTTGCAGTAGCAACACCTTGCTTATCTTCTTATACTTTCTCAATCTAAGTGGTCAACATTGCTCCTTGATGAGGCCGTTCAGAGTACAAAAAGCCGTCTACCTAAGTCTTTCCGTCTTTATGGTGATCTTTCAAGACGATTTCATGCTATAAACAGTATCATAACCAGTGCTTGCTGTAAAAACTAAAGAGACTGTCTTAATGAGTGCAGAATTCAGGCAATATATTACTTTCTGTTGTCGATAGTGAACACATTGCGCTGGATTCTCGGGAACTATACCTATACGAAGAACAGGAACCGAGCCACCATTAGGGTAAACGATTTGCTTGAGTTTTTGATGAAGCCGGTGAAAAAGGCCCTCGTATTTTTTAGCGACCCGGTTATTCAAGGAAAAAAACTCAAATGGAGCAGAATCACGAAGAGAATGCAAATAGAAAACCGTTGACCTATGCGGACATCATCCAACGACTGGTTGCCAGGTAAGAAATTTTTTCAAAAATTGAATAAAAACCAAAATATTGTTTTTCATTCCGCAGTTTCACAGAAAGTTCACATTGTCGTACACGATATTGTCAAAAAGAATTGCCAACTAAAAAATAAGCTCGGTAAATCAGTGGTCCGAAAAACTCACGAACACTAAAGAGGTGAACTTTTACAGCATTTCACTCACTTTTGATTCGTTTCTCTCCAGATTCATTCATCAAACGAAGAAAGACATGAAGATGGACGGTGTGAATGAAGATGACCTGTTGGAAATCAAACAGGATATCAGCAGCCTTCGGTAGGCAGTTAACTGCAATGCTTACTAGTACGACAATTGATCACATAGGAGGATTTTTCTATTATAAATGTTCGACTCCACATTTCTTGTTGAGTATGTCCATTCACGGTTCTTATTACGACGTCGGTTCAATTGTGCCATTCGGGCAATTGCCTCTCATTCTCCAATTCAACGAGGAATTCTGCCGCAGACTTTGTGGTCTTTTCCAGGTATGAACTGAGGGACGATCGTCGTCGGGAGATTGTTCGTAGCTCCTCTCATATTGACGCCGTGAAGAGAGACATAATGCGCACCATGAGCAGTACAAGGTAGTCTGGCTCCTTTAACAGAGTTGTATTTGTTCATAGTTATCTTTTTCCAATTTCTAAAAACACGACTCATAGTCATTTCAGAAGTCGTGCATTTGGAAGTAATAGCGGTGTTTCGCCTCATCGTACTTCTGTCGCCGAGGAGTTGGAACTTGCCAGTACTGATGACGATGAAGAGAGGTACAGTTTCAAAACACGCCTTTTTCTTAAACTAACTTTTAAACATGTATTTTTATTAAGAAGCAAGTAAACTTTTATAGGAAAGATTGTGTGTCGCTTGTCTTCACTTCAGCTGCTACTGAAAAACATCCGGAATTGTTCCAAGGTACGCGACTTTACAAAGACTCATGCACTTATTTTCTCTCAGTAAGCTTAGTTGGAAAGATTTTCAGAAGATGTAAAGAAAGAGAATGGCAAAAGATCGTCTGAAACTTTTGACCTGGATTTGACGGAGAGACCGAGGCTTATCGGTTTTCAACGTTGCTCGGAAAGGCAGCACCTGTCTCTGGGCAAAAGCGATACCTCGTTCAGCTATCCGATCAACGGAATAATGATAAGATCAACGCCCCTCAAGAGTGCTTCTAAGTCAGTTTCAATGTTTATAGAAGCGTCCATAACCTACTCTCCTGCAAATTTTGTTTTTGTAGTACTCCTCTCCAAAGCCTCATCGAAAGGAAAGCTCACATCATTTAGTCCCGGTATCGCATCGCGAATTACAAATTATCTATATAATACTTTTGCAGGCTTCTTACCGTTGAAAAGTGGTATGAAAAAACTTGATCTGAGCCATAAAAGGCCATAGTTTTCGCTGTTAGATCATCGCAGTTTTCATGAGCGAGATTGTCGTGAAGAAACTTTCCAGTCTATAGATAAACCTTCACCTGTATCACCAGTTAAACCTTCGGCAAGCGAAATCTGTTGAACTTTTGGTCACAGTCCCTTAGACGTCGTATAAGCGCTTGAATGCAAATGTGATACAATGATTTTTTGGGGCCAATCAACGTATCGACTTATTGTTTTTATCTTCCTGGATAGGTTGTTATCAATTTGCAGTTGAACCAACCACCCCTTTAGTATTTCAGAAAACCCTACACCATTGTCGCAACGCGCAACTTCATGTATCGAGGGAGCTTTAGTAACAAATTCTCCTTGACCTCTATCACATGTCGTCCCGTGGATCGCCAAGTGATTCGAGCGGACGCCAGTAAATCTTCCATTTCATCGTGTTCAAGGGTAGCCCCATGGTTCCTGATTCCTCTAGGAACTCATTCCTCATCGAGCATTATACCTTCCTTCTAGGATTTCGGTGAAAAACCCTGACCATCGGGTTCTTGGTCTTCCTGCAGTGCGTTTGACATCCCGTGGAATCCACTCACTAACGGCTCTTCTGTATCGGTTGTCATTCATACGCATTGTGTGTCCGGTCCACCTTATCTTCGAGTGTTTGGCGTACAGAACGTCATCTTTGATTTCTGATCGTTGACGCAGATCGGAACTTTGGATCCCACTCCTTACTTGTGTGGAACGAGATACTCCTAGCATCGACCTTTCGACTGCGCGTTCGATAACGCTGAGTGGCCTTTCATCCTGCTTGTGCATCGACCAGGTTTCTGGCGCATACGTTAACACAGGAAGTACGGTTGAGTCGAAAAAGTGGGCACGAAGTTGGGTGCTCTTTGAGCTCTTCACTACATCTCCGATGCTCTTGAAAGCTTCCCAGCTAGTTTCCTTCTACTCAGCTCTGAGGCTAAGTCGTCCAACATGTTGATTTTCCGACCTAGATAGGTATAACTGGAGCATTCGGAGATATTCGTTCCGTTGAGCGTGAATGGGGCATGCGAAACCAATCCGTTCTTCATGAACATCGTTTTTGTGAGATTTAGTCTAAGACCAATCTTTTCACAGGCTTTATCAAAGTCGTCAAGCATACGTTCTGCTTGGCTAATGTTTCGTGTTATAAGGACGATGGCATCAGCAAAGCGAAGATGATGTAACTGCCGACCATCGATTTTCACTCGCATATTATCCCATTCCAATGTTTGCGTGACGTTCTCGAGGACGACGGTATATAATTTTGGGGAGATGGTATCGCCTCGCCTAACTCCTCTTTTGACGTCAATGTTAATATCGTTGTATAATGGTGATACCTTGGCTGTGAAATTTCTGTACAGCTCACGAAGAATCTTTATGTACTGAGTAGGGACTCCTTGACTATTAAGGGCTTACAAGACTGCTTCTATCTCAACCGAATCAAAGGCTTTCCGTGAATCGATGAAAGTGAGCCAGAGCGGTCTTTTGTACTCTTGCGATGCTTCGATGAGCCTTGTTATCGCGTGGATGTGGTCCATCGTATTGAATCCTTTTCGAAGCCCAGGTTGTTCACATGGGGTCCTCCGTTCAGGGTTCTGTAAATCATGTTTAGAATGAGTAGAGTGGAATGTTTGTAGACGCCAGACAGTAAGGGGCGTTGGGCGATAACTGCCGATATCGTAGAGGTCAGACGTGAACAATAGCGTTTGATACCCACGTGTAGATTACTGAGTTGTGAACGTGGGGCTGGGTGTATTCCAGAGTAGCTTGCTAATTTATTCCAGAATAAAAAAGTTTGTTTCTTGGAGGTGGCTCCTAGCAGCCTTCACTGTACTTTCCCGTCGCTTGATTGCCGGCTTTTGGCCGAATTAACTAGTAGGATACATTCTGCATAATCGACAATACACCCACGCATGAATACTTAAATAAGTCCAAATAAATACGGCGTCTCAATGTATACAATGTCGTTTTTTGTTCTGCGATTAACCCTTGTCCACCATCTGTGGACGTGCCACATTGCCTTACGACTAGCCGAAATGAGATCCGTCTATTGGAGATCCATGGTGAAATTCTGCTGAGAGGTTTTGGTGAGGGAACTTAAATTTAGCAAGTCTTGATTTGGATTATAGTTGAGCCGCAGCTAAACATTACAGAATGCAACGTTTCAGAAAACAATGTCTGTTTAAAAAGTGAAATTAGTACTAGTTTCAAGACCACTATCTCAAATGTGTCGTTTCACTTTGAAATGGATTCAGATCACCGGACTGTCCACGATACATCGATTTTCTCGATGATACAACACCGCTCGACGCAATTCTGAATCTAAGGAACGAACTCAATCAGAAGTTGGACCTGCTGATCAGTAGGATTTCTGGTAAAGTCGAGCGCAATGAACTAAACACTAGTCTAACCCCGTCGACGAAACTAAATGGTAAAGTGAACTTCTCGGATGATACTGAAGTGCCTTAACAGCAGATGACTATCGGCCCTCCTATCAACACTGCTGGAAGATGGGAAAGCACTCTTGCTCACCCCTCACTGCTGCCCTTGGCTGAAATGTCATCACTTCACTGAGCTTTCCAGTGTAACGCATTCTCGTTCCTAGTGTCTACTGTACTCCCACTACTTAGATTAGTATTGTATTTGTTTTTTATGAGTTCTTTGTTCGTCAATAACTCAAGCGTCATCGTTTATTTGTTCACAATATTTGTCTGTATTTCGGTGCTCATGGAACTTGACCGTTGGTGTCTAAAATTTCATTATTTGTTAACCTAATATGGGTATCTCATCTGTAAATAGAAGATTCTGTGTAATAATAAGTAAAAATGCGTTTTTCTTTGTTTATAGGGGTAACTGTCTTCCAATCGCATATGGCGTTGGTCGACATAACGGTCGGCACTATAGACAGCACTAGAAGGTGCAGGACTAAGCTAAGCACTGCAGAGCTACAAGCACAACGCATAGCCGTCCACTGTCTGGAAATCTAAATATTAGAAGGTCCTAGTCAAACAAAATAGGCACTATAAAACCTAACAGAGTGTTTTCCAGCACAAATGAATACGTGCAAAGAATTATTTATGGGACACATGGCATCGAACACTTATCAACTCCAAGAAAATTTAACAGAATTCATAAAGCGAAATTACGGTATATTATTCCACAGCATTACTGCATGAAAAAGGGTGCTTAGCTAGGAAGTTTAAAATTAAAAACACTAACCTGATGCCATCTCTACAATAGGTTGCGGCAATCCGTCAATAAGACAATTCACTACCCTGGCTTCGTGCTCTGAACCCTGTCTTTGAGCACCGTATAAACTACCTACAACTACCGAAATAATGTCCAGAGCTTTGATTTTCTGTTATATCTCTCTAATTCACTTCAATAAGACTTACAAACTAACACAACTTTTTACTTAGCGATATGACGATGAAGGATGGATATTTTAAAATTGTGAACAAATAGAGAGGCCTAGAACGCAGACGTTGCAGCGCCTTGGTTCTCAAAATAAATCTCGTCCGGTTGAAGATTTCGTGGAACTCGTATGCGAGGTTTCTCCCGTCCACCAAGGGCGACCTATATGTAACAAAATAAGTCGCAAAATGCAAAAAATCCTCACTCCAAACTGGTGTATGCACAAAGACGATGAATTTTTGTCAGGAAACGCAGCGAATTTGACAGAACTGAAAGTTTCGAGTAGGAAAATCGATGGAATTTGGAAGGGAATCCTGCATAATCTATGTAGCATTGCTGTACTGAAGCATGACCTATAAAGTTAGGACTGCCAGTAGTACTACATTTCATGGGAGTTCTTATACGTATACTTCCACCATGTATTTCACACTCTAAGACTCACTTCCATATCGATGTCCGGATATATCAAGTCCACTTGAGCGAATCGTTGGTTTACCAGAAGTTCTTTTGAGAGAACTCTAGCGTTCAAATCGCAGTGTTCATACCAGTGATGGCGAATTTCTGTTTAGAAAAGAAAAGGAAAAGGTTAGCGTGCCAACAAATCTTGAAATATATAAAATGGGATTAAAGATTTGCTGTTCCCCAGATGTCTTTCTAGAATTTTCTCAAGTGTCGTTCACCTTGAAAAAATGTGTTTCGTTCTTATGATATAGAAAATCACAAAAAGCTTCTTTTAGGCATAAAATGGCCAAATTTTGACTTCAAAGACCGTAAGTATGGGTGAAAGGAATAGAAGAAGCAAAAGGATATGAAAAAATAAAAGGAAGAAAAGGTGAAAATATTATTTTAGTGAATACCTCCATTTTTATCTTTTACAGAAATTTTTATTTTCGCATATTCGATATCCGAGAAGCGAACCAACAAGACCGAGCGTGGTACACAACGTAGAAGATTTTCTGAATCCTCTTTACTGCAGAAGCCGTAAACGAGCCTCAAAAAATTTTCCTCTATTGAGTTATTAACAAAGGTTTTCTACACATTATATAGCTTTTTTTTCTTTGAGAGACAAGCGAAACAAACGATCCGAATGGTGTGGTGGTGAATGCATTAGTCCCCGGAAAGGGTAAGAGCGCTTTCGTTCCCCACCGCAGACACCTGCGGTCCGGAGTTTTGTAAATATCTCAGCATCATCGAAATTGTACAATTTTTCGCATTTTTGTTGAGCAAACGCGAGGTGTTATTTTATTCTTTATTTACAGATAAGCTGACGTTTCGGCGGATTTCGCCTTCCTCAGAGCCTGGAAAGGTCAAGTTGACAGCAGTCTATTTGGCCAAACACCTCCATAACCAAACACAGAAAACGCTAAACCAAGATTTCAATCACATTGAACACAGAATATTATATAGTTTTTATTAAAAATTATAAGTTATATAGTTTATAAGTTATAGGCATCAAATAAAAGTGATTAAAAAAAAAGATATATAGTTTTTGCTAAAAATTATAAATGAGCAGTGCATAGGACTTCTCACTAAAAAACACTACAACCTTCTTAAAGCTTTCGGTTGATATGGAAACAACACGGCAGCATAAGCTAACAGTTGTACAGCCACGCCTCCCCATTTCAACAAAGAACATTCCCCTAACTACCAATTTACACTAAGTTCTTCAGTGAATAAACTGATTGATGCGGATAATATCTGTAGGATATAAGGATTCCTCTTCCTCTTTAACCACTATTGTTGTATTTTCCAATTGTATGAGTTTGAAAATCCTTGTCTCTTAAATCCTTTGTGAAGTTGCTCAGTCCGCGCAATCAGAAACTAAACGCATGAGGAGTATAGAGACTATTCTCTACGTGATCACTTTCATTTGCTGTCTATTCTTTTTCATGGCAGTTTATGTAACATGGACCGGCTACATAACACGGTGCCATTAAAACCCTTGACTATTTCAAGATTTAAATCCGATATATCATTTAACTCACCCATCGTACCACATGCTGTACAAATACTTGTTTACAATCTCAGCTAACTTGAAGAACCAGTCGAAGAACGGCACCAATTTCCATTCTCCTTCTGTTGTGGAGTTCTTTCGAAGTTGGTACTCTTCGGCAACTGGTAACTGGAAAAACTTCAGAAAGGACTGAGCTTAACGACCTAAAGTCAACACTTCTCATAACTAGTTCGGTAATATTATTTTTCCAGATTGAAGGTTTTCACAGATCTCGCTACTGAATGCACTTCTGTGCTACTTTGTCACTTCTAAAACGCTTTTTTACCAAATACTGTACTATATACAGATCTTCATGCTGACCTTCATGAAACTGTCCAAAGCGATAAAACCGTGATGAGTTGGTTTCAGGCGATTGACCAAGTGTTGTTTAGCCTAAAAAGTATATTTTATTTCATCGTCTTCGACCAATCATTTAACGGATCTCAGGAAACCCTGCGGTTGTTGAAGAATCCTGTGGTGAACCACTAAGACCCCGCCTTGTTCAAAGCGCTTGAAAGCGCCAATGATATCTTGTTATGAAAATTTTGGAGCATCCAAGTTGAGTTATTTCGCAGTCATTATTAAAACCACACTCAACGAGCAATCAATGTGGTAAGGCAACAACAAAAACCGCGTTGGATTTGAACGGCTATCGTCAACCAACGAAACGTCATGGAAACTCCTCCGGACTCATACATAAAGGCAAGGTCATTCTCTCCAAGAATAACTTTCATATTGTTTTTGAACACAAAGTGTGTGAGTGAGGATGCCTCATTCGAAGAGATGGCCCTCTGAGGAGGACCTGACTCGACACGAAGGCGAAGCTGCCACGTCGAGACGAGGCACAAGCGTGGACCATCGGCTCGGATCATCGGCTCTGAGAAAGATGAAAACCTCGAAACGTTAGCCGAAAATAAATATCATTATCAACCTCGTGTAAGCTCATCAAAGAAAGAATACAAAGTGTTGAAGTTTTCGGCATTGCTTTGTTCCATTCGTTGATAACGTTTTAGACCTCACAAAATTCTGTCTCAACCCCTTATCACTTCACAACATGGACTTTCTTGTAAGGTAAAAACCAGTATCTTCAATTGTCATTCACCAACAATAATGGTTAAACTCCGAACTACCGAACTTGGCACAACAATGAGAAGTCTAACGTAGTCGAAATAGTGGTTGCCTTGCAAAACGACTCTCTGCAGATCGTTCTTCCGAGCAATTTTTGTAGACGAAAAACGTCATCTTAAATGTGAGAACTCAAAAAAGTTAATATTCAAACAGAAGTAGGTAACATCCTTACCAAAAGTCAAGCGCATCCACTGGAAGTTAGTGTCTTCAGTATTTTTGCAAAGGATCATATCATCGCCTTCTTTTCGAAGGATTCGTTCCAACCTCAACGTCGACAAGAATCCAGTAACTACGCAGAAAGAAGGAAACGAACAATACCACCATGTACCCTCATAAAAGAACACCTAGATGATTAAACACGATACTCCGCTAGGGACGCATAGAGCACAGACAAATGACGGAGAAAATATTAAAGTGAAAGTCAGCATCCACATGCCGCAATCTGAAACATCAGAGCAAAAAGCCTTCGAAGCAATCTGGATAAATTCCATGTAACCTAAAAATCACACCAAAGGGGAATGCTTCATTATAACGCGAAATCTCACATAACATCGTACACTTACAACTAGATGTAATAGAGGTGCATTATCTATTCGTGTGAACTCTGTGCGGTTGGTCTCTACGTGGAATTCTCAGCGCAAGGCTCATAAAAAGCAGTGAATCTGTGAAGAAGATATTTTTTCTCCAATGGGATCGAAATCCGGGTTTCGTGGCTTTTTACTGCAATATTTAACTGAGTAGATTGCGATTAACTCGACCTTCCCAGACTCTGAAAAAGGTTAATCCGCCAAAACGTCAGCTGACGAAATAAATAGTGACAGGCGAAACGAAGGACCCGCATGGTGTGATGGTGAACGCGTTACTCCCGGAAAGGACAATAACGCGTTCGTTCCCTATTATAGACAACTACGGTTCAAAATTTTGCAAATATGTCAGCAACGTTGTGGTTGTATTTCGCTTAGTACTCCGCCGTGAAAATTGTAGTGGGCAGAAAATAAAAGGTAAAGTATTGTGGTTTCAACTACAGCCTCAGCTTAACTGGGTTCAATGCCGATGTGGGCTTCCCAGATCAATCCCATTGACAGGTGGTTGCTGACGGCGTTGTTCGATAGAACTAGATGAGAAACAGGTGAAATGAAGGACCCGCATGGTGTGGTGGTGAACGCGTTGCTAGCCGGCAAGGTCAATAGTGCGTTCGTTCACCACTATAGACACCTGTGGTCCAGAGTTTTGCAAATATCTCAGCAACGTTGTGGAAATAAATAGTATGCAATAACAACCTCATGTGTGTTTACCAGGAAAGTAGCGAAGTATTTATCAATGCCTAGGTTGATAAAAAGTCAATAGTGGAAATTACAAGCAGCACACTAAGAAAGGTTTCCAAATTGGCCGTCATTTAAGCTCGGTGGTAATAGTCGAAACCTTCTTGGACTGTTAAGTAAACACGAGAATGCCAATCGGATCTTTAGTGGAGCACCGCAAGGATGAGGGTACCTCACCCGACGATGGTCTTTTAATGAGGGCGGTCGTAGTTAATATAGCTATTGATTGATAATGTTTTGTTTTCGAACGAATTCCAATGAAGCCTCTCAACGGTTTACCGCCTTATCGTGGCTACGAGATGTCGGTTGGTCCAGTGGGCGAGAGGAATCATCCCCTGGCAGCGCCTCCCAAGCTGAGAAGAAGTCCGGCATTTCCATCAGGAAGCCCAACTATTAATAAACCAGTACCAGGATCCATTACCATCCTGCTCCCAAACTAGTGGCGTGGTGGCAAATCTCCCTCTGATCCGCAGACTTTGGCCTGGCTGAGCTCGGGATTCCAGGAACCACAATGGCCAAATCAACAAAACTTCGAAATAATGGAGATTACGCTGGAGCCCGTATGCCCGTATAGACAGTGACGAGGGGCTACCCAAGTATCCAGTTATCCGAGCAAGTAATCCACTAAAGAAAATCCGTCTTAGTACGATAACAGAGACACCACATCGAGAAGACGAACAACTGTGGACCATCGACTCGGAAAGTCGGCTTTGATAAAGATGAAGGCACCGAAACGTTAGGCGAATAAAGCTCTTTGACAACTTCATTTAGCCTAACAATCCAAGAAGGTATTGACTACTACATTAAGAATTTTGCTTCAAAGATACATTATCCAATTCTTATTCGCACAATTGCGAGGATCTGATGAAAGACTACGAGATTCTGCTGAAACGCCCACTAATCTATAGCACACCTTTCCAAACAAAAACAAGCTATGAACGTGTCCTAACCATCGTAAACTAAGAGAATATATTCCACAGTATGGAGAATAATGCCAACACATTTCCCCTTCTTGGTCAAGGAATAGATGCGTCTTACAAAGGAACGCTTGTTGACTAACTGCAACAGTAGGTGTGCCACAACGGCTTTTTTACCGATCATGCACTATTCCATCTGGTAAAAGAATAAAAAATGATGAAATGATTGTTCATGGCTGTAAGACAGTGGCCTATGAATCATCAGATTTTGGCGAAAAATGGGTACATGTTGATGGACGATTTCTCTCTAACCTTCATTTCCTGGAACAATATAGCAGAAGCACAGACGCGGAAAATGCGTTGTTAATGGTGCAGTGCAGATTTCGGATCAGCTGCTCATTAGATCCCGTGCTATGGGCTCACTAAGCTTTCTATTCTTGCGACCTCGGAAATTTGCTAAGAGAGTTCATTGGGACCACCGCAAGTTATTGTGAAGACCAGATATACATCGAATCATGTCTACAATGCTTGAAGAAGTCGAATACATGGCGCACCATTCAGAGATTGATCAACGACGAAGTCCTTACCACTTTAGCTTCTTTATAGCAAAACTTGGAAGAAAGCCCATTACTGAAAAACGCCTAGTGCAAAGAAGAGTAGATCGTTCCGATTGAACCACTGATTAAAGAAAACATATAGCATGTATAATTGTGACGTTTAATGAATATAGCCAGTAACTTCTACTTAGTCCTTCTAGCTTTATTCAAAGGTGGTTCCAACTTACAAATCTAAAATTCTTAAATAGAGTTGTGTCAAAAGCTATGAAGCGTTGAAAACTGGGCTTTAGAAATACCTGCATGGTGAACATCCGTGGTTGAACCACGGCTGGAACATCTGCGTTTTTCTGCGGTGTTTCCACAATCGCCTTAAATGGCGTTTATCTTTTACTCGACAGCATAAATGAAAATAGATCGATTGTACTATCCCAACATGTTCACAGGTACCTGAAATTTCAATTCCAAAGCATCCGCCATTTCGGCACAGCTGACATGGGTCGGAATGTCGGAAAGTGGATGTCGAACCTATAAAACAGATCGCAAGCAGAAATTAATAACAGTAAAAACGAAAAGAAAATAATAGGCTAAATTAAAAGTTAAACTAAGCATATTATTTTAATATATTCGTTAACAGTGTATCTTTACATTAGTTGGAACATTCAGCTGTTTTTATGGTAGACCAGCAACTATCCTACCTCTATTGGCTAAAATAATAAAGGATAAATGATAGAACTCTCAACGTTGATCAATCCCCGAAGGTTGCGCCATGCGTTCGACTTTGTCAAGCATCAATAGAGGTTACTGAATGGATATTTGGCCTATAGCGTGATTCGCGGTGGCCTACCGATGCATCGAGCCAGCGCTGCTTTCCTCCAAGACAGGTATGGTAATAATTTTCCGAACTCAGATGGATAGAAGCCCTGCTTAGTCTGAGGCGCGGGATCGAACCCGTATGTATTGCAGAGGAGCTCTAACCACTGCGCTACAAAAATTCTACTGTCTCGAATATATCTTAAATTACCAGCCCCTTCACGAAGTATTGAAGAGGGTGGTAACTATATGACTTCGTTTAGAAACATGAATTGCCTTTGATAGGCCGATCAATAACTACATAAATCGATGCCCTCTCTGAAGAATCCTATTGGAAAGGAAGCCAATCTGTCTCCGACAACTTACCTGTGGAGAAGACTTGGGCGCCATGAAAAAACTACCACCTACCACGGCATTCTAGAACAACTACAAACGTTGAGTTCAACCGCGTCACTGAGACAGGACGACATCATGGAAGACCGTCTAATCTTGAAGCCCTGGGCAAACCCTTACACAACTCCGACAGCTTCCACGGATTGCAAAAAAGCGAGTGGAGGAATTCCTGTCGTACGAAGACGGTTCATCGAAATATCTATTTGGCTATATAATTTAAGCTCCACTGTAACAAAAAACCACCAGTTAGAAATAGGCTGATCTATGCAATTATTTGAATCCATCATCGCCGAAAGCCACAGATCATCTACTATACAACTAATTCATCACCACGGCTACTACCTAAAATATTTCTGTTGTGATAGAAAAAAAACTTGTAAATATGGTACGTCGTAAAACGCTAGGCAATATTAATGAGAAAAGATGCGCAACGCCACCAAAAAAAATCCTCTATACCAAATCAGCAAATGACCTCTCCAGGAACAATCTCGCTTCAACGTCGGATTTCGGACCAACCAACACTGCAAATGGAAGGGACACCTGCAAATATATTTGTCTCACTTGCAGCTCGTCGTCGGAAAGTGGTACGCTGTGCTCAAAAACTGATTTAAAACTAGAAGAAAAAACTTTAATAGGCAACTTCATACTTTTTTTCCAACCAGTTCCAATCCACAGTTAGTTTTTAGATGAATGCTATAACAGAGACAGTAGCGCTTTGACGCAACAGAGTCGCGACGTAGTTGGGTTTTTTTCGCAACGCGCTTAAAATTTTGATAAACAATATAGAAATCTCATACAGATATGTGACTGAAACCTAATCGTATTAATTGTAATAAAATTATGTTATTGAATAGGAATACGGCTGACCATGTCATCGAATTTCGCCCTTAGTCCTCTAGTGTCCTTCTTTTGGAAGACGGCTGACGACGGTTCAATGCAAAACTCTTCTGATTCAAATCTGCAAAAAAAACGATAAGAGATGAAGCATGAAAAGCTAATGCATCTCTGGGGAATGCGTCATGTATCACACTCCACTATGTACCATAGAGGTAACCACTTATCTAGCGTATACAATACCCTCAGTGCGCCTACTGATGTCAGTGCGTTTTCGTCCACCCAGACAACATTCGCAGAATATTCCCAACCGAAGAGGGATGCAGGACTTCACTTGCACGGGATGCCGGACTGAATCAACAACCATGCGCATGTTGCCAGACGTTTCGAACGACTACGCTACGCTGCCAGGAAGAGTAGGTCCCCAAATTGTGACTTGGAAGAATATGCAAGTGCGCAGTGTGAATGTAAAACTTTCGCGAACTGCACAAGATGGACTAGTGTTATAGCACTTGCTCGATCAGGTCACAAGGTTTCAAACCTTTTTTAAGTAGGCAGTAATTGGCAATAAATAAAAAGTTAACATTATGATTTCAACTACAGCCTCAGTTTAACAGGGTTCATTGGCGATTTGGTTTCCCCAGATCAATCGCGTTCACAGGTAATTGCTGATGACACTGATCGATAGAACTAGCTGAGAGACAGGCAAAACGAATGACCCGCATGATGTGGTGTTGAACACGCCAGCCCCCGGAGAGGGTAAGAGCGCGTTCATTCCCCACCACAGACACCTGCAGTCCGGAGTCTTGCAAATATCTCAGCATTATATACTTTTTTCAGTTCCAACCACTTACAACTCACATCTCCAAGTATGCATTGTTCAAGAGCTGCTTGGCTGTGTCGTCCGTTATCAGGTAGCATTTGACGTCAGTCCCTTGACCAACCGCTTCAACTCCGAACGCCTGTCCACCGAGCACCCTATCAACAGCCTTCGTTGAATTCCACTGACTAGTCATTTTTGTCAGCAGTTAAACGTTTCCTAGACAAAATATGGAAATCATGATGCTTCGAGGAAGAAACCATTTGAATTTTCCAAGAGGAATTTTCGCCCTACTGCTACCATATTTTGTAGTAAAAGTTTCCCTTATCCTTAGAAAGCAATGTTAGTAAACTGATTGCATTAACACTCGTGTGAAGACGTCTAATTTCGCTTTCCAGCCGCAACTGACAATGTCTAATTCTCGGTTCCTACGGAAATGTTGGTTTTTTGAAAGCAAACAAGTCTTTAGATAACCGCAGGATACGATGAGTTGTGAATACTACGTAATTGCAGAAGATATTGCCCTCTATAGTTCTAGTTGTAAATGATACGTATGATAGAATTTACTACATGCTACCATGGTACATGATTCAAAAATATTGCCCTGGCCTTTGGAAGGGTTTTGCAACCTATGCACCTCAATTTCAGGATCTTTTTATAGCCGCATTCTCTATATGATAAAAAGCCCATTATTTTTTTATTTTTTGTTCTATTCGACCCGTCATCACGCCTACTGTGTGGATCCCAGCACTTCTCACATTCGATTCGTTTCCTCGCATCCACTGTCTATGAGGATCTTCCAACTTTATATACGCTTCGGTTGCTGCTTGAGGATTTAAATTTCATCTTGAATGTCGCAGAATGTTGGTCGAGAAACTCTCCCTGGAGTCCTGAGATAGCTGGACTAGAGCGTTCCCAAATGGAATGCTGAGAGTGATTTTTTCCTAGACAAATCCGGTACCAATTTTCCGACCACGGAATGAATGAGAGGCTTGGTTGTCCTGCAGCGAAATCGAGCTAGTACTACGCTCGTGATGACGGGCATCACTACCACTGTGATATCCGACCCCTAAGGCCCATTATAGCAATTAGAATTGAAATAATAGTCGATTACCAGTCAAATTTCTAGTCAACGAAAGCGTTCGGAAAACAGTTTTTTGTATATTTCTAGTTGAAGAATAGAGCTTTTCCCGACCTACACTCAACGTTTGTATCCTACAAGATCTCGACTGATGAGAAAAACTGTCCTATGCGTTAAAATAAACCACCAAAGAGAAAATAAAACGTATGGAGGTCACACCGGCCACTCCGGAAACTTCGAGATGACTCCCACAGAAATCACTCATCGCGAAATCGTCAAGAACAATAGGAGAGTTCGCCGGTCCTAGTCATTTAGGTTTAAATGCCCTGTGCTGGGTGCAAGACCCTAGATATACCTAATCTCGGTGTTGAACCAGAACCGGCTTCGTCGATGATTCTCTGCTTCACCGCACTTGACGATCACCGACGGAGGCTGACGACTTACGATCACTGAATAGTAGAGAAAGTAGTGCGCCATACTGCAGAACTTGTTGAATGCCTATAAAGAACACTTATTCAGAAAGTAACCGTTACTGGCTATGGTTTTCAGAATGTAAAAAGATGAAGGTTATATTTTTTCCTTGGATAACTTCTCGACAACAGTGGATTTTTTAACGCAGTGATTCGCTCGATAGGAGTGAAACGCTGGTTTGACCTTATCCCGATTCGCTAAGTCATCCATCCTGGAAGTGGCACAGGATCGGTCTAGGACTACCTAGCACCGGTCGGTTCTACAAAATTAGCGACTATCTGTGGTGCTGATCTGTTAACGCCCTAGTACGGCTAACATGGAATTTAAAGGAGAATCAACTCGATCGGTGCTTAAGCTGATTCATGAAGAAGAATAGAAATCTTAAAGCAGCACCCGAGCCCGCAAAACAGAAGACTTTCTTGGATGACGGATACGAGGAAATGGCCCATTTGAAAGAAGTTGTAAGAGCCACACAACAAGCATACGTATTGCGGCGCATTAATGAAATAAAGGCAAAAATTCCTCTATTTGGGAACTTTCGCGTCCTTTTCAATTCAAAAGTTTCTCTATGCTTTTTACTCTTCATCATTGAATGTAAATAAGCAAAATTTATACCGAAATGACAGAAAGGCACCCATGTGTATTATTAAGAAAGCAATCGACGATGCCATTAAATAATTCTCAACAGTTCAGTTTACTTAAGTTGTTCTAAGTTATTTAGAAATCTATTTGAGGGCGGAATCATTTCATCTTTCAATCTATTCCTTGAATATATCATTCGAATAAATCGAATATTCGCATCGACATCAATAATCGAGGCTAGGTATTCTCGGGCGTCGACTTGCGGCCCACATCTGGGAGTTCATTTCTCAGGAAAATTATAGCAAGTGAGAACGACTTTGATATTTTCCTCTGGAAGACGGAATTGTGTGGATTAATACTAGGAATCCCTGGAGAAAACTTGTCTCATGCGGGCAAACTTGCTTCGACCCACAAGTGTCAATTGTTTCCTCTCATGACGACTTGGGACCGAGTTTTTAGAGACAACAGTAAAAGGAATCCTACCAAACTCCAGATAACAGTAACATATAAGATGCATATTCTTCGTAGACAAAGATCATTCTGCTTTTTAAGTAGTTATGAAGTCAAGCTGTGCCAGTTACCTCGTCAAACGACGCATTGGGGAAATACTGCCTTAGATAAGTCAATCCAGAAAGCGTTTGCTGCAACAACTCTCCAAAGTACTCGAACCTAAATGTTTTACTACTATTTATTGCCGTTTAAGGGTTTTTTGTTTGCATTTATATAAACATGCTTACACATACGGTTCTTTGCATTCAAACCAACAAATAGACTTTAAGAGGTGCATCTTCCTCTAGCTCCACTTGTCTTTTAACATACAGCGGGCTATATGATGCTTCCGGTATGACCTCTGTACTGGTTAACCCCTACCTGCTGGCTAATTTTGGTGCACAGAACACTTCCTATACTTACTGTAATCAAACGATACCTTACCCAAGAGATGTTGTGGTGAGCCTCGATAAAGAGAAATTCGACTCTGCACTTAAAAATATAGAAGAGGCTTTTTTCGTACGAGTTCATTGATTGGTAACCTAACAAAATTTGACTGTTATGTCAATAATTGCTACTATGATAAGTGAAGAGTTATTTTGTTGAATGGACGGATATAAAAAGGCCAGAAGTAGACTCAACACAAGCTGCACTGCTCTTCCAAATGCTGACAGAAATGCTTGGGTGATGCACTGTAGTAGCAGATAGAAGATTCCTAATTCGACTTGAGGGATTGAGAACACAAACTAGATTTTGCTCTATCGATTTATGGGTATGAATTTGCGCACATATTAATAGTCAATAGGGCGCGTGTGGCTCAGTCGAAGGAAGGCGCCACTGCGAAACACATTTGGAATCCATCCCCGCGCCCGTGGCCCAGCAAGCCATTCATCCCTCTGGGTCGCTAAATTGGTGCAAGACTTGTTTGGGAGGGTAGCAAAACTGGCACGATACTTCGGTAGGCCACCGCGAGTCATTGTCAAGGCCAGATATGTATTCAATCACCTCCAACGGTACTTAACGAAGTCGAATGCATGGCGCACCCTCATGGATTGATCAACGGTGAGAGCTTTATCCTTTTATTACCAGTCAATAAGCTGTTTCAAAAAACTTTTTTTTCACATTTCAAAGTGCAGCCGAGGTTATCAAACAATGCTGTCCACACAGCATTTTGCTTGGAACAGCTATCGATGGGCTACGAAAAGTATGGCAAAAAAGCTTCATGAAACCGAAAGAGGTCAACGAAAAGAGTGCGCATCGAAGTCGATATGTACGGTGTGTAAAGCCCGCCAACGTTTGTGTGGAAATCAACGCGCGTGATCGCGAAAGGGTTAAGGTTTGGAAGATTATTACTGGTTATCTGAGGTGATTATCATAGTTCTGCCATAAATTTTCCACTACTACTCCAGTTGAATTCCTTGCCAAAAGGATGCTAAAGTTTATTCAGTAGATGTCACCTACTACTTCATGTCCATAATGTTTTTTTCAGTTACTGATGAAAACGTTTACAAAGCCTAAACCTGAATAGAACCAATAAAACAACTTTTGATAAGGCTGTAATCAGTCTTTTATAATGTTTATGGTGATTTTCAAACGATCGTAATCACTGCGTCAAGAATGTTGTTGCTGGCTGTCTTCATGCTTCTCGATGAAGATAGAGAATATTCGATATATGGAGAATATTCCCTATTTACACATGCATTTGCCTCGCATCGCTTATACATATACTTACGTTTTCTCTGAGAGCTTCTGCTGTGTCGCTTACCTGATGAAAGGATTCGCAACTACCGTATTGTGTTTTGATTCATCCTTATCAGATTGCACGGCCTGAGAAAAGCTCTACCATCTCCTTTTAAGAAACTATCTCTTAAATCTCTGTAAACTCTGGCCATTACAGAACGAATATAAGAATCTTTGTCAGTCGGCTGGCGAGTTTGCTCAACGAAGTACTCCTACAATCTTCACCTTGGTCTTGGCACCTGCATTTCTAATCATTCTCTGTATTGCCACTTCGTCAATATTACACTGGTATTTTTGCAGTAAACCATTATAAGACAAGCCTGAGATTGTGTCCTGCGACAACACACGAAAAGTCCCACATGGTATATTCATACAAGAGCGAGAAGTCGACTGGAGCTAATAGCTCTTGGAACTAACTATTCAAACTGTATTTCTATTATTGTGAACGCCACCACAATGAAGGATTGGAAGCACCTTCATAGGCTTATGGATTCTACATTTTATTCCTGAAGAAAAAACAGACGATATGCAACTCACTGCAAATGAATCATGTCCAGTTGTTTGTAGTGGAGTTGTTGGGTCCACAATGTCCCGATGCTCACCTAAATTTATAAACTTAAAACCATAAAAACTCTTAGCAGACAGTAATGCATAAAAATGTTCCAACGACAGAAAATTTGTAGTTGAAATCCCTGAAGGACCTTAGTGTTGACAGCCATTCGATTAGAACCGAAGCAATATTGGAAAATTTTTACAAACCGTCTTTCATTTAACCTCTGCATGGATATTGGCATGGATATTTAGTGATCTTGGCCTAATGATTAGAATACACGAACGAGGTTGTTTCAGATCCTTTTGTGGCCACCGTTGCCATCTCTCCTCTAGAACCGCAATGATTGGAGATGATTGTCCAAAGTAGCTATGATAACTCTTACGAAATAGTAGCGACGAGACTTCTGGGGTTGCCTTATCTGTGCGGTGCTCGACCACTCCATTCGACTAGGCTTGATATGTTTGTGGAGGTTCACATGACAACGAATTACTATTGTGGGCACTTGACTCGAATCATTACGGCTTTGAAGAAGAAATAAGCCGCTGAAAAAACGAACAAGATGTTGCAACGATTCTTGCTTTCCCATTTGGTTCCTTCGGACGCTGCTGAACAAAGAAGAAACCAAGGATCATGTCATTGTTGGCTTACAGCCTTGCAGTTCAGCATGATCCTTGTGATATTATTTTTTTCGCCGTAGGACATTTATACCTAAGAACTTCCGAGCAAAGACATGGCAAGGGATGCCTGGAACACTCATCCTTTATGCACATCTGCGTTTAGCGCCTGATAACGCTTGAAGTGGTTAAGTGCCAACCAAAAATGACCATATAGTTGCTTGAAGAGGCAATTGGGAATGACAATCCAGCATTCTGCCTTTACTGGTTCAGGTCAATTTATAACTTCGGTATGCATGTAATCGTGTTTACTACTATGGGCACAGCTGTACAGTTTAGGGTTCCTATTCTCATACGGCGAATAAATCTCATATTTACTTTAGAAAAGCCTAATAGGCCACTCTTGAGTAACTGTACTCAAGTCCTCCTTAGCACGGTCCTTCATACAAGTTGGGGATGGCCTCTCGTCAAGAAAGTAAAAACGGAGAGGCTTAAACAAACAATATGGTACATTCTGCATTGTTAACATTAAACCTCTCTAGCAGTCCTTTCCTACCCAATGAACGACTTTGCTTGTGCTTTCGTGAGTAATCCCACAACTGGCATTATTGAATGTCATGTGCAACTGTGTTGTGCGTGCATGTTCATTCCATTTCTACTTCTCGAATTATACATACGCTTGACTATTTTCCTTTCCGTGAAACAAAATTTAGGAAAGGTTTTCTAACAGCAGTGTCGATAGTTTCTAGTATAGACAGGAAGCAAATAAAAAGTTAACACTGTGATGTCAACTACAGCCTCAGCTTAAGTGGGTTCGCTGCCAATTTTGCTCCCCAGATCAATCACCTTGACGGGTGATTTCTGATGGCACTGATCGATAGATTTAGCGGAGGCACAGGCGAAACGAAGGGTCCGCATGGTGTGCTGGAGAATGAGTTGGCTTCCGGAAAAGGTAATAGCGCGTTCGTTCCCCATCGCAGACACCTGTTGTCCGGAGTTTTGTAGGTATCTCAGCACCATTATAGATGTTAATATTATTTCATTACTAGCTGCTGCAACAAAGAAAAAGGATGAATCGTATCGTCCACCACCTCGTTTCTATTATTCTGCATTTAAACGACCCATTATGTCGTACTCAACCATTATTTCATATTTTCGAAGTAAAGTTTAGTGGCGTACCTTCTGCTGCTTCATCGCCCAAGTCAACAGCACATCACTCATGAGATGTTGTTTCTCGTCTTCAAAAACCACGTACATATTTCCGCAAGTGTGATGTATTCTCTGAAATAAAGAAGTGATTGGACTAAAATAAAACTTAAGCCACCAGAAATCTAAGGAAAGTAGCAAAAGGTAGAGCAGCCGGAAATTCCTCCGAAAATTTTGGTCGGATTGAAAAAATGATGAATTCAGAATCCTCGTTTACTTGTTCTTGAATATCGTCAACAACCTGTATAAGTACAGAATGCTCATGTTGCGGAGTTCTGCCAGAGAGCAGTGTGTCCACGTCGTCTTTGAAGACCTGCAAGTAGAGCCACATCTTCATTTAGACTCATACTAGTCATAATGGCATTAAAACTGACTTGGTATATTTCTGCACTTTGATTGTGTTTCGAAACGAAAACACTGTCAACAGCGGGCTCGGACGGCGAGAATGCCGACGACGACTCCATGTCGACTTCTGAATGCCCTGTGCTGGACATTCCTCAACGATCCCAGTTTTACTCGAATCTAAAGTAGAAATTATTTTCGTATTCTCAGATCATTTGACGGATCAAAAACCTCGAAATGCAACTAATCTGTTGATGGATGGAGTAAATCAAGCAAAGTCTCTAACCTCAGAAAATCTTAGATTTGAATATTGACGATGTACAGCATTTGCAATAAAGTCTCAAAAAGTAATAGTGAAGTAGTTAATGTTCATGTTTGATTTATCGCGATATCAATTTTAGTCCTGCTAAAATGAGCAATTATAAGTGATAAGAATCAGGTGCGATTCTGACCATTCTACATAGGTGATACATAGGTTATAATCCTTTGTTAAGAAATCGTCGACACAACAAGAAGAAAAGGATGTAAATACTGAAAATCAATAGATTTAATCGATAAGACCGGCCAATGTATGATTGGATGATGATTTGAAAGAGTATGGAGAAAGTTAGTAACGTCGCTGTTATACGCATTTCAATGATAACCACAGTACTTACCCATCTTTTAGTAGAAAAAAACCAATATGTGCTTCCATAATTGAGAAATATATTGATTCAAATATAGGAGAAACCGCAGACGCCTCCAACCATATGTATATATATATGTGCATATGTATATATGTATACATATATATATGGATGGAGGCGCCACTGCGACATACACGTGGGGTCGATCCCCGCGCCCATGGCCCACTAAGGCTTCCGTCCCTTATGGGTCGGCAAATTGGTACCAGACTTGTCTGGGAGGATGGCAGCACTGGCTCGATGCGTCGGTAGGCCACCGCTAGTCATTGTAAAGACCAGATATGCATTTAATCACCTCCAAAGATACCTAACGAAGTCGAATGCATGGCGCATCCCACAGGAATTGATCAACGCCGAAGGCTTTATATATATATATATATATATATATATACATATATATATATGTATATATATGTATATATATGTATATATATATGTATATATATGTATATATATGTATGTATATATATACATATATATATGTATATATATATGTATATATATATGTATATATATATGTATATATGTATGGATATATATATGGAGTGAGCCTGTAATATGGTGAAACAATGGTTGAGATACCCTGTCGCGCTCCAAGGTTACCCAGTGAGTTCTGCTCGATCGAGGGGATTCGAGGAGCCTCATATTTTTTCGTAGGATCTTGATGATGAGATTTAACCATTAGCCATTGGGTTTTGTGGTGCGCACTCGTCTACCGTTGAGACTTAGTCTTCATCCACTGCTGTCCATAAGTTTTCGTTTAGACTCACCAAATATGCAAATCACATGATTTTTTATGTTCTGTAGATGATTCGTCTCTAACCTTTCATCGCATATGTAAGATGGAATTTCGGATTCTCTTTTTCACTTGCATCATACGCAAAGTTCTTCCGTGATTGTTTCGTAGAAGGGTTCTATTACGCTGAATGGCCTTTCATACTCTGCTCAGGAAGCATTCAGCTTTCCGACGAATACGTCAAGGCAGAGAATGGTGTGGAGAATATGATCATAGGGCCGGTTGCCTTCGGTTTTCACTACATCTCCGTTATTCTTATAAACACCTATGGAAAATCGTTCCCTTCTGCTCTTTTTTGGGAATAATTTGTTTCTAGTGTCGACTACTCAATTCAGAAACGCACTGCTTCCGGAGATATTCGTTCCATAAAAAGCGGAATCTGTTCTTTATGAACTTCGTTCTCTTGAGGTTAGAAGAAGTACTGATTTTCGTACGCATTAGCCAAATCGACAAACACTTGTTCTATCTGATTAATACCCTATATTATCTTATAAAGTTGATGTGATCAGAAAATCAGGCATTGTGTCCTCTCCGAACACTGACACTTACTACCACATTATGTCATGTCAGTGTTCACAGGAGTTTGCCTAAACAATTATCGGTCCTATACATTTACGCCAATGATAATCCCATTGTAGAATGGCAAAACTCTGGTTGTGTTGTTGTTTATAACTACTGAGTAGGAACTCTCAAATTCTAAGAAACCCTGTGACAGCTCCAACTTTGATCACGGCTGCAGGTCTTCAAGTTCTTTAGATGCTCTGGTCTAATTCTTTCCGAAGAGATCGAAGTAAGGATAGAAACACCGTTAGAACGACATGTCTACCCTCCCTAATCTGGTATGCAAACAAGTGGAAATTTCATTAATTTTTCACTATTTTTCTGAATACAGTAACTATTCCATTCGAATGCCTTCCTTACTTCTACGATCTCAGGCAATATTACTGTTATTCTTCCCATAAGATCCTTTACCACTTTGAAGAATTTCGTACGTCTGGCTTTAAAATGGTCGTGTCGTGCGACTCCATGCCGTCATATCGATCTTTCAGTCTAAAGATGGACACGAGTGGACGTGGGGCACAGCGTTAACGACACCCATCGACCTTAATGGATCATGAGCACGGTGCTGACTCGACCCTTTTTCGGGCTCACCAAGGCTGTCATCCCTCCGAGCTTGGCAAACTGATACCAGATTTGTCCGGGATCAACTCACTCCTTCAAATCCACTCTGGAACGCTGTGGCACAGCTGTTCCATGAAATCAACTCGACCAGCATTCATCGACATTCATACTTTTTCGGAAAGGCCATGAACGTGTTTATGGTCGAGTAACTCAAGCTGGCGTCACTAAATCTTCCATTTCCCCTGTCGCGCGCAAAAATATCCCAATGCGCTTTACACGCTCTCGGAGCTTCGTATCCCTTCCTTCATTTACATAACGCTGGATACTCCCATCATTGTCCCTTCGGATGCCCGTTCAACAACGATGAGTGATCTTCCTGCTTGCCTAGTGGCCAGGTTATTGACATATATGTTAAGCAGGAAGAATCGTCGAATCAAAAGGTGGGCACGAAGTCGGGTGTTCTTTGTTCTCTTCACTACATGCTCGATGCTCTTGGAAACTTCCCAAGCCACTCGCTACCTCCTGCTCAACTCTGGAGCTAAGCAATCCATCATGTTGATATCTCTACCTAAACAGACGTCGCTGGAGCAATCGGAGATATTCTTACCGTTGAGCATGAATAGGGCGTAGAAAATCAATCCTTTTCGTGCGAACTGTTTTTTCCAAGATTTAGTCGAAGAGTCGAAGACCAATCTTTAAATAGGCCTTATCAAAGCCGCTAAGCATTTGTTCCGCCTGCCCAAAGCTTGCTGTTAGAAGAACGATGCCGTCAGAGTTCCCATTCAATTGAAGACCAGCAAGGCTATGTTAGCTATGCCGCTCCCATGGATGTTTCTAGTTCAACTGAGCCAGAAGCTTACCTTAAATTGACGAAAGTGAGACAGAGCAGTCTCTTGAATCTAAACATAATTCTACGAGTTTTGTTATTGTGTGCATTTAGTCTATCGTACTGAATCCTTTCCGAACCCCTGCTTGCTCACATGGCTCTCCTTCCTCCAGTGTTCTGTCAATTCTGTTTATGATGAGTCGAGTGAAAAGTTTGCAGAGGACAAACAGTAAACAGAGTAGGCGATAGTTGTCGATATTGTGAAGGTCACGTTTTTTGAACAATAACATAGCCTTGCTGGTCTTCAATTGAATGGGAACTTTAAATTCAGGCAGATAACGTGTGAACAGCCGAACCAGTGCATTTGTGAGAAATGGCAGGAAGTTTTTCAAGAGTTCAGGTCTTATCCAGTCAGACAAAATGTTCCGGAAGGCAGAAGCGATGAGACGACACATCCGCCCTCCATCTCATATGAGGGCGTGAGGACGTGACTGTTGAAGAGATCCGGGTAGTAACTGTGAATGATTTTCCTCACTATCTTTTTGGAAGATGTAACCTTTCCGTGTGCCCGTCGGAGTGCAACCATCTTGGTTTTTAAATAACAAAGTTTCGGCGGGTTTTACAAATCTCTTTTTTCATCACCTCTCCGCATTGTTTTGCAAATTAGTGCGTAAGGTCGTCCTTGCCTGCAACTCGTGCGATTCCACTCCGACGTATCAGCTTGAGTGCGTTTGGAGATAGACGTTTCTTGGTGACTTTCGAGCTCTCAGCTTTCATAGCGCTAACGTGAAGACGTTGAATGAGCCGATCGTATTCCTCGTCAATGTTTTCAAGAACGGCATCTTTCCAACAGCAGAATGATTAACTGGATAAATCTCACCTTAAGGTGGTTTTGGTACTTCGTTTTTTGAACCTCGCAGCTTTTTTCTCCTTTCCGCGAGAAATGAAGCGGGCGCACGAAAGAGGTGATGTTCTTATCCAGCGTAGAATTTTTGGACAACAGCGATATCGACTAGGCAGAAAATTTCTATTTATTATGATGTGGTCGATTTTGTTGTAGTACTCATCAATGGGAGACTCCCACGTTCAACACTGAGAGGGATTTTTGGAATTGCGAGTTAGAATAAATGACCTCGGTCGTCAAAATAAACTTAGACAAAAGCTCACCTGCTCTTCCATTCTAATCTGTGGGGCCCAATGTCACACCTTCCAAACCTTGTTCTGGTTTCAATGTTACCTTCAAAATTTCTAGTGCCTGAAGGGCGTATGTGGCGCAGTGGTTGGAGGCGTCGCTAAGACACAGACGTGGAATGGATTTCCGCGCCCATGGCTCACCAAGCCTTCCATCCCTCCGAGGTCGCCAAATTGATACCAGACTTGCCTGGGAGAACAGCAGCACTGGCTCGATACATCGGTAGACCACCGCGAGTCATTGTAAAGGCCAGATATGCATTCAATCACCTGCAACGATATTTGATGAAGTCGAATACATGGCCGATCCTTCAGGGATTGATCAATACCGAGAGCTTTATCCTTTAATGTGGCCCCAAAGAATGTATGGTCTTTTCTGTAGAACTCTTTAAGTCCATATAGAACGCTTCAACTTCTCCTTCGTCATAGATTGTTGTCGGTGCGTAGACGACGAAGATTGTCGAAACCAGTATTGATCCACATCTCCTCAACCATAAACGACCGATTCGGGTTGCTAGTTTTCCGAATGAATTGATGCTCATTGCAAAGCTCATGTTGACGAGAACGCCAATGCCGGCGACTCTCTACCTTCGCATGTTCCAAGGAATAGTTCTCCAAGTTCTTCTCCTATGTCATAGATGGCTTTGAATGGTTGGCATCTTCTCGTCTCAGCCAGTGCGAAGACCTTAACTCTCTTACCTGCATGATTAAGTCCTCTACGACTCAGATGCAAGTGTACATTCATTATAATTACAGATCATGACCTTAGTCCTTTGCGATTTAGGCAGCCTTGAATGGCCCTGAGATTTTAGTTACCTCTCCGGACTCGTCGTACCCAATGCTACTGCATCGAAGACTTTTTAGTGGTCAGGAAGGTGAGGTCTGTTTCCTTTAATGTGTTTGGCTTCGGATACCCACGTTTAACTTGCTGAGTTCTGAACGTGGGGACTGGGTATACTTACGTACATGTGATTCTCTCCCAGAGTGAAGAAGGAGCTTATCTGTTGGAGGCGTCTCCTAACCGCCCTGACATACTTCCTCGTAAGTTTGTTGTAGGTTTTTGGCCGAACTGTCTCGTCCGCATAAACGAAAACACAATTACGCACGCATGCATGAATACGCCCTCGTAAATACAGAAAGTACGTGCCAAATTGACACAGCAGAAGAAGGAGCCCATACCGTAGATCCACGTGCATCGCAGGGAAGCAGTGGTTGCTTTTCGTCCGCGACTAACCCCTTATGCCTACACATCACCATGTTTTTCATGTAAGCCTCTTGTGGACACCATATTCAAGGCGCTATCAGATTCTCCCAAAATGTCTTTGACATTTTATCGGTTTAGGAGCATTTCTCCCACCGAATAGTGTCGCATTAGAGAATCGTTCATGATTAGCCAAATATCGTTTTTGCGAAGATTTTAGCGATAAATAGCTAGGAATGGCTGACAGCAACATGCGAATCACTTATTTCGCACCTTCCAGTTACTCAATTCCAATGTTTTGGTAAAGTGACCTTCACGTGCATGAAGGCGAGAGGCCACCAGCTGTACATGCTTGCACACATACGGATGTTCCGACGTCATGCGGAAACCAGAAGATCTATCCCATCGTAAGCTTTAACACAACTGATGATGATGTGATACAATGTTTGCTTGACATTGGTTTCAGAACTTTGACATAGTCTACAGAGCTCTCAACCTGGGTGGAAGTCACCATTTAATGACTTTAGCCAAAAAAGATGCATATATGTAATGGTGTCAGAGGTTACAAAGGAAGTAGCCGTAACTATAAAAACAGTAGCAAAAAAACATCGTTATTTCTGATCTCACTGTAAATGGGTTCAACGCTGATTTGTGCTCTGCGAATCATTCCCGTTGACGGATGATTGCTGATGGCACCGTTAGGGTAAAAAACGGGCTCAGAGAAATGCAAAGCAAAGCTCTCGGTGGTGAAGTGGCTAACATATGAACTCCGGGAAAGGGTAACAGTGGGTTCGAATTAGGCTTAGGGCGCTAGTTTTCCAAATAACTCAACTTCATTGTGCTTATAAAAACAGTATTTTTCAACCCCTTTAACCTCAGCACCAATAATCAATATTTTCCTGGGTTACTAAGCTGACATGAGATTTATAAAGAAAAGATTCATTCGACTAGTGTTTTGTGCCTTCGTCTTCTTCAGTCCCACGTCGTTCCAAGTCGATGGACCACACTTGCCCGTGCTCGTGAAGTGGCTGTTCATTGTTTCACCCGACGGTGCCCTTTTGTAATGACAGATGTTGATCTACTTCCGGCTTCCAAAACGATCTATTACTTTGGGCAGGCAATGCGTCCAGCAGCAGTAGGTGTTATATTCGTTAGTACATAGCAAATCACTATTTTTCAAACCGACCATAGTCTTTCTTTATGAACCCCGTTCTAGCTTAATAATCTATGCAGGTATAAAAACACTTTCACAGCACCTCAAGTAAAATGAGGAGTCAAAAGTCCAAAGGAGTAAAGAAAAACAACAAAATTGTAACATGATGTAAATGCACTAAAAACGGTTTGCTCCTTTGTCACTCCATGACATGCGACTGAACTCTTACAAAGGACGACGTTCTGTAAGTTGAGCACCGAAAAACCCTAATGTGTGTGAAAAGCCGGTTATGGATTTTTCCTGCTCGACATATGATGAACTAATACTGATGAAGTAATCCGAAAATTGTCAGCAACTGTACCCAAAAATCCCTTCTAAAACAGGTATTTTGGGCTCTTGAAGTTTGAAGTTCTCCACAGAATGAGGTAAATTAATTTGCGTAGGAATATGCGCATATTCCAAAAGTTCACTTGTTAATTAGTAAAGCTGGTTACGAACTGAAATATTTATAGTTTTCTTCAGTATTTCGTTATCTTACAATGATCATCTATGAAGGTCATTCGGTTCTTGGGTTAGTTCGGTCCACTGGTTGACGAATACGTCATCGTCTCCCCTTATTGACACACCTAATGCTAGTTGAAAGTAGTTCTTTCTAAAATACCAAGACAGCTCTTCTACGATACTCCAAGGTCTTCACCACAATTGCCCATCGACCTTATGGATCGTAGGGATTGTTTTCGATTACCAATCAAAATTCCTCGGAGTTAACATCGATGCACGGAGGAATTTGCCGGGACTATTCGTTTGACCGATGGAGAATGACGGATCGAGTACATGTGTACGTATAGTAGGCACGTTTATTTGAAAGACTGTATTCTTTAAACACTAAAAGTTTAAAACTTCGTGAGAAAATTCTGGCAACGCTACCAGTAAAGAAATAGCGCTTTGCTTCATGAGAAGAACACCTTACTTGTAGCTGGGAACAAGTAGGAAAATCGACAGAATATAGCGAAATGTGTTATTGAAAGCAAATAAACACTAAAACCAAACAGTCGAAAGAATCAATTGTCGAATGACGTATTACGGCAATTTTACAGCAATATAACCACACGTGAAGAACAGGTTGCGGGAATGAATCGACCTTTGCCATCTTGACAGTGCGCCGTCACTGAATCATCACAAAAGTCGTCGAAGTTGGAGATTACGTTTGAAACGACGTCATTAATATAACAAGGAGCAGAACGAACAATGCTAAGAATTTGAGCATGGAAACGCTGGTGGAAGATATCATATCTCTACTGCAACTCAGCACTCTTCGACATATTTCCTGCCCGGCATGCATTTAATGCAATGCATTTAGTGCGAAAATATTGACCGCTTGCAGCTTGGGCCAAAGCTAACACAACTCTGCTTATAGTGAACTCTATAAGGCAGAGCAGACACGAATAGAATCTATTGATGGTTCTCTGTATAATAGCAGCTCACTCATTCTACAAAGAGTAAATTCAAAATTTTCGGAGCCTACAAAACATACTTTTTCTATTCCTCCCTGAATTAATTCTCGCATTTCGAAAACCGGAAAAAGTTGTACAAGCAGGATTTCATCCAACAGGATAAAATGAGGTTCACCAATGTATCGCTGGTGTTTTAGAGCATGCCAGCTGGCGAAACTTTAAAATTTTATGACTTGTTTTTAATTCTCTGGCAATTTTAATCTTGCAATTATTAAAATTGAAAGAGTGCCACCTATGTCACATGTCGTCTCGTTGATCATCGAGTAACTCCAATGGGCGCCGGTAAATCTTCCATTTTTCCTTGTCGCTTGCAAGATTAGTCCACTGAGTTCTGCTCGCGCTAGGAAAACCGTTGAGCATTATATATTTCTTCTAGAGCTCTCATGAAAAACTCTGACCATCGGGTTAGTGGGCTTCCTGCAAAACGTTTGACATCTTGAGGAATCCAGTCACTAACCACTCCTGACCATTGGTTGTCGATTATACGAGTTACGTGTCAGACCCATCTTATCTTCGGCAGTTTGGAGCATAGAACAGCGTCTTTCATTTCTGATCGTTGGCGTAGATCAGAGCCTCGAATCCCTTCCATCGCTTACGTAATAAGGGATACTCTTAACGTCGTCCTTTCTATTGAGCGTTCAATAACGCTGAATGCTCTTCCAGCCTGCTTACGTAGCGACCAGGTTTCTGCCTCATACGTTAAGGCAGGGACTATCTTGGTGTCGAAGACAAGGTGGTAAAAAATAAGAGTCTAGAAAATTGACAGAATATATCATTAGATTTATGTATATTCTTCAGCCGATACTGCAAAACTTCTTCTATAAATAAGTCTTTAGAGCTGTCAGCTCCTTGAAAGCTCAAGCGATCGAGAAATTAGCTTTAGTTGTCGAAACGTGAGCTTTGAGCATTATGTGCTACTCTTTTCCTCATGTAAGCAGAAATATAATGTGCAGAAGTAAAAAAAGTTCTTGAAGCAAAGTAAGTTGATTACCAAAGTTTTTAAGCCACAATTCGTTCATAAAGCCAGCTCCCTACCTAGGTTTTATAAATACCTCAGGACTCGATTGGATGCTTGGAAACCCTTCCAAACCACGGTACCACGTCTTGATATGCATCGGCCATCCTTAAGAGCCATTTCATGGCTCGCATTCAGCGCATTCACTACTTCGTTTTCTAGACTTTTTTGCTTGATTTTGTTGTAAAATATAAACCTGATAAATACTATTGAGCCTTAATAAAAAGTCCATGTAATTCGTATTTCGAGAAATCACTGTCATTTTTCATAAACTGCAGTGGAACGAAAGCATAAACTTCTCCATGTGTACAAAATTAGAGAAGCTTCGCTTTTATAAGTAAACGATCGGAAGGTCTTCTGTGAACATCATATTTCCTTCGGCATTGATTTGTTTTTCTGCATTTGAACGATGAACAACGGCCTTCCATTCTGAAATGATGTTTCTCATTAGAAGGAGGTAGTAGCATAAGGTAGGTTCAGTGCCTTGAATTGCTCATTCATTTCCGGGCGTAACTTCAGCGACAGGTGTTTTTGTGGATTGCATTCAGTGGTCGGCTCCCAAGAAAAATCTTCACCACATAGTTGGTGGAGTGACGAGGCTGAGTCGCCGAAGAATCCATTCGGGTTTCTGAGAGACTACAATAAAAGACAAAACGATAACGATAATAAACGTTTCCAAGCACACTTCTACACGTCAACAACAGTCAAATATAAGCGACAGGTTCTCAAAGTAAGCAGAATTCTTCCATATTTTACGACAACTGAATTGAATCTTATCATTACCAGCATTAACCAGGTTATAGGATCGTTTTCAAGAGTACTAGTAAAGCAGCAATCATGATTGGTGGAAACTAAAAGATATGGTTGGCATATTGAAGAAGTCTTAAAACAATACCCATATTTAGCAAAATTTGTCCACATTCTGGTTGTGAGCTCCAACATCTTCTTGTCATCTTCATTAAACTGGAAATCCCAGTGGATTCCAACAGCAAAAACGTATGTCAGATCAGTGCAGTGAGACGAATCTGGGAAAACGAAGTCTTCGAGTCTCACAGAGACAGAGATAAAACTTGACAAGCGTGATAATTCAGCATCATAAAAACCGATTTTCATTGAACCTCCGCAAGAACAGCTAGCAGTTTTCCTAGTTTACCAAGCTAACATGAAATAGATGTGAAATTTATTTCCTTAAAAAAGACTTGGATCAGAAGCTGGTCCATATCTCTTCGCTGAATAGAAATTTCTACATCAACCTTGTGTTACCTCAACACTGTAGGAAAAATATCAACATAATGTTTATTAGCTGTTTATTCGCCGTCTACTACAACTTTTCACGGTATAATATTATGTGAAATACAATCGTAATAATGCTGAGACATTTTCAAAACTCCGGACAGCAGGTGTCTGCGGTGGCGAACGGACGCGCTATTGTCCTTTCCGGGGAGTAACGCCTTCACCACTACACCATGCGGGCCTTTCGTTTCGCCTGTCTCTGAGCTAGTTTTCTGTCTACTAATGCCATCAGCAATCACCCGTCAAGAGGATTTATCTGGGAGCCCAAATCGGCATGGAACCCAGTTAAGATGAAACTGTGTTATAAATCCCAAAATTGTCAATTTTTATTCACTGATTACTCTTTTTTATTCGGTTAAACGTTTCCTTAGGTCTTACCCACCACAAGTAATCGCCAACTTTATGGGTCAGAGAAAGATTTGGGCCATGCGACTACTTCGATACCAGAATGGTGGTGATTCCTAGCACTGCTTTGCTCTTGGTTGGGCTTCTGGGCTGCTAAACGTCAGACTGCTTTTCAGCCTGGGACACCTTGCTGGGCATATGATCACGCCGCTGTGCATTGTAGCCCGACACCCAGGAACACCTAGCCACCATGAGGCGGTAAACCGTTGAGGAGGGTTGCGGATAGCAAGTTATACATGGAAAAAAACAGGCACTGTTTTTTTTTCTTTGAGGCACCGATGAGCACATGGAGTTTCTGCTGTGGACAGGCTTTCATTCTGGGATACGACCGTCAGTGTACTTGGGCGAATTCCAAAATCCAGCCAGATGATAATGAATACGCTGTTAAAAGTAAAAAAACTGCAAAAATGACTCCATTCTAACAGAATACGGCAAGAGATCAAAATTGATATGGAGTTCGAAGTTCTATAGGTGGAAATCCATTAGCCAAAAACATAACAGATAAACTTCGAGGGAATTTTTATCAGCGACGTTGGGAAGAGTGAAAACAAGGAGGCTGACAAAACTCGGTCTGGTCTATGAAGAAAACTTAGATTTATAATACATAGAAACTGTGGTGGAATGTTTTCTTAATGAACTCGAAGAAGGAACGACGTCATCACATTTACGAAACCCGCACTAAGCTTCGTTTGCAATAATGCAGAATTATTTCTCGAAATACACAGCAGGAAATGGTAGAAGTTGGCACAACATAAGCTTAGACATAAAAATCATTGCTTCTCAGGTTTTAGAAGTTCACTGGAAACTTATTTCACGCTATAATGAAACTTATGCTACTAAGAAAGGAAACGGATGAGAAGCCAGAAGACTATATTGAAAAATGATACCACTATACTCCTATGAGAATGAAGTTTAGAGATGTGTTGTTGATAATAATTCATTTACACTCGTAAGTGAATTGTTATTAAACAACCACAAAGATGATGAGATATGAGCAAAACTCGGAACACCAGGTGAGCTTCGAATCCACGATTACCCTTACCTGGAGTCCATGCACTATTCATCACAAAAAATAACTGGTCGAGAGGAAGGCAAAAAAAAGCGGCTTGGCTGGTGTGGTGGATAACACGTGAGCCCTTAGAAACGGTAATCGTTTGTTCAACGGAAAACCCAACTAAGATTTCGAGTTTCGCTCATATCTCAGCATCGTTTTGTTTGTATTTCACATATCACCCTGATATTGAAAAAGAATAGGCAGTAAATCAAAGCTCAGACAGTGCTATTAATCACTTGATGAATGCTTCCTAATTTTGATTTTTAAGACGATGGAGGAAATGAAGGAGGAGAAGTGAAATAAAATTGGCAAAAGCATTGAAGTGGCATCCACGTTATGAATGGTGGGTGTGACTTTAAAAATCGTATTCGACAGATTTGCTTTTAAAAAAGGAATGAAAGTAAGTTTCAGACAAAGTGAATTACATTTAAAAAAAAATAACCTTTAAAAGGCCAACGGAAGTATAGTGAGAGAGGCCCCCAACTTTTAGGGTTGTAGTAGTCGAATGAGTAGAAATACACTGGTGCACTGTGTGTCTCCAGCCCATCGAGAACAGTTCGTTGAATTGCGATGTTGATGAAAAGATCACCAAGTACCTTTAATTTATTTCCATTCAAAAGTTTCTGAGAACCTGGAGGAGCGCATACGCACTTTTCTTACAACTTAATACTCATGTTTAGTGTCAGACCATTCTGAAAGCTTCGGTGTTCCGTATTCTAACCATGAATACTTAAATACTTAATCAATACTTAATCAATGTACTTAAAGTTCTTTTGTCGAGTAGTCCACAGACAAGTAATCGAAGCAAAATACCTCAACATTAGCTCGCGCCACGGCCACAAAGTCTTCGGGGTCGGTGAGGAGTTGGTCGAAGACCTCATTTCGTAACTTCTTGAACACGATAGGGTAATCAATTTCCGGGACTATTAGCGCCACATTCTCCATAACTGTATCCACCGACGGCTTCTCTCGTAGGACTGTAAGGAAACTCAATGTCCAACTCTTCATTAGCATTTCGATCGTCTCTAGGAGGAAAGCGTTTATGATATGGTTTTAATAAACCTTGAGCTTTTAGTTATAGATAGACCTATGTATCTTAATACGATCGCAGTTCTAGGCTGTTCAGAAATTTATGTAGGACATTGACGTCTATTCCTTAAAGCTGAGTATGTCAGCTTAGAATAAACTTTGTCAATCGAAATAAAAACCGTTGTAATCTATAGAGCCTGCAAAAAGAAAATTTATTCATTCTGTTTCCTTAGAATTCTGGAATTCTGAAGCAGTTCCGCGACGCACTACCAATTCGTACAGCATCCATTTATCGAGTTTAACTGACATTCAAGTCTTATTTAGATGTTTAAAAACAGTTGGGACGACCACATCGAGTGACTCCACTAGTCCACAAATAGTTGTGAATGTCTTCATATTCCTGTTTAGCAAACACGAGGTGTTATTATTTCTTTATTTACACACAAGCTGACGTTTCGACGGATTTCGCCTTCCTCAGAATGAAGGAAAGAAACTGGAAGGAAAGCCTCATGGAAGCGGCTCTGAGGAAGGCGAAATCCGCCGAAACGTCAGCTTGTGGGTAAATAAAGAAATAATAGCACTCATGTTTGCTAAACATAAATATAAAGAATTGTTCAAGCAATGTCGAGGTCAATAGAGAGTTGGTCGTGGGAGTTGTGCATGTATTTGCCTCCACCAATGTTTTCAATTCATCGTCTTCAACAATAGAACGTCCATGGCTTCCCTCATCTTCAATGTTGAATTAGTCATGGTGAAATCTTACAAATGAAAGATGCACTGCCTCTGTGCTAGTTGGCAGGTGGATTAGGGAGTTGGTCGGATTTGTCTTTTATCCGCCAACTGTAGTAACTGCCGTGGACAACCTCGAATTTGGGTTACAACAATTTTTAGCAATAACAACGGTACAATCATAATGGGTAATAAACGAGCGAGATTGAAATGAAAACAAGTGATACAATTGAAGGAAGCTAGACGGACACTAGAGTTGGAGCACGAACGCTGCGAACACTTGACGACGAATGCCGATGGGCTGCCTGTGTTATTGTGTAGTGGGTGGAGCTTTGCCAGAGGGAACTAAGGACAGCGCCTAGAGAGAGGTTCTAAAAGTTTTTCTACTAGCACAATCTGATAGGACTACATCTGGAAGGGTGCAGATGTTTGTTCGGAAACTTTTTTGGGACGGCGGATGCTGAAAAGTACATTCAGCTACTGATTCCCATTCCACCAGCCACTTGCGAGGCAATCGCATGAAATGGTCGTCAACAGACAATTTACAGAATATACAAGAACAGATGTATGACGATTACAAGTAAATAGCTATTGTAGAAGATATAATGTGACAGAGAAATAGGAACTATTTAAGAATAGTTACTACAGTCCCTTCGTTAGCACTTTCTCCGCTCCATATCTCCTTAAAGATTCAAGCTATTCACGGTCACTACGCCCGGGTTTGAGTTTGCAGAACTAGACTCATCTACATTGTTATTTTAACGTCTGAAATTCCAATCACAAAATTTATGAAGGACAAGTAATAATAATTCGGTAATAAGCCGCGTGTGGCAGTGGTTGGAGGCGCCCTGCAACACACACGTGGAATCGATCCCCGTACCCACAGCCTACCAAGCTTTCCATCCCTCCAGGATCGGCAAATTGGTACTAGACTTGTCTGGGAATATATCAACACTGGCTCGATACATCGGTAAACCACCGCGAGTGATGTGCACTCGATCACCTCCAACGATGCTAAATGAAATCGAATGCATGGCGCATCCCTCAGGGATTGATCAACGGCAGGGGCTTTATTCTTTTTTTATAAGGCGACAAGACTTAAAATAAGCTTTGCGATGATGCATTACAGTACATCACTCGATGAAAAATCATTTCTAAAACGCACACAACAAACATAAAATTACAAGTCCTGCATCGATTTCCGAACAATCCAGCACATCGGAACCAAATTTCGAGGGTTCCTAGATTGCTGTTTCTTTTCTTTTTGCTACGCTGTGTGGGGAATTCATCGCATACCTTCACCACTTCTTGAAGTTCTATGAACAAAGATAAATATAAAGCAGCTGTGGAAATTTCATACATCAATCAGCAACTTGGTACAAATTTGCTAGCCCGAAAACATGCAAAAGCCTTGCCTTTATTAGGGTTAACTGCCGTAAGGACGGAACTTAGATAACTTACACATTAGGCCCTCCGATGAACAGCAGCCGATTATCATAGGCTTCGTTGGAGCCTCTTTCCGTAATTCGCTAACATTCTAAACGTGCATATAATTAAAACTGGTGAGTTGAAAATCCTATGATTCCTCATCAAAATTCATTGGTAAAGAAGTGAAATAAGACCTTAGGAATGAGATCACCATCAATACATGGTCCAACAACACATTCTGACATGTTCAACGTATCCATCAATGAGACAGCAAACTTTGAAGCAGGAACTCCACGAAGAATATCGATCATCTAACAAGGTATATAATTACAAAGACCTCTATTTGGTTAGGAAGCAAAAGTGTTGCCACTGGAGCTTGTTTTCGTCATTTTCGAGCAGTATCAGGAAATACCATAAAAGTTTACAGAACTATTTCCTCAAATACTTTATTCATTTCATTACCCTCATGAAAATGGTTTTCGCAAATGAAACAAAAACGGTGCTGCTAATCGAAATCTCCTACATTCAGTTCAATGACGTATGCGAGACAGATAGGAAACAAACGTGGACGTAATATTCCGAGGACGTTGATACCACGCTATATGCTATTCTATATTATACTATATACTATACTAGTCCTACAGTACTCACCATGGAACTGTCACGACTCAGCCTTACACCATTCTTCTCGGCGAACTTCCGACATCGCTCCAATATGTTGTGGTGTATGGCCCATTCACAGCTTGCGTTGCCACTCATCAAGATCACTCCATGAAAGAGATCTACAAATGAAACTCATCATAACTCAAAGATCGACTTTCCGCAAACCTTGGCATAATAATCGATATATCTGCATATATGTTCTTATGAACTGCCCTTTTTTAGCCGACGGAAGGATGGTATAGATGTTCTTATCGTTGTTGTTTTCTTTGTTCAATGGCTGACGTTTTGTCGGCTTTGCCTTCCTTATGCCTTAAGTCTTGCGTATGGCACAATCCACCGTGGCACTGGTTCGACCCCACACCGAAACCACTAAACGTCTCAGCCTTTCGAGGTCACGGAATTCCTACCAGACTTCTTTCAGACAAGTTGACTTTGTCTAATCCACATGAGCAACACCATAGCGCGACTCTCTTATGCTTCAAAGGAAAATCGTCTCAACCAATATTCAATGGCATTCGTGACGAAAATGAAGAAAATACTCAAGCAGCAGTCGAATCCACACACAAAGAAAAGCTCGAATATTTTCATAAGATGGAGAGTATGCGGAAACAAATCGTTTGCAAGAAGTAGTGGAATCTATAAAGTGTGAAATATATGATGCCGAGTCATGCAACAAATGAAAAGCAAGAAAGTGTCTCGGCATGGTCTTCCTCGGTGTCGCAGCTATTCGAATCGAGCGTCCAATAGCAGTTATTTCTTGCGATACAGGTCTTCGTAGTCGGATCATCAATGGATAATCAGTCGAAAACTGTCCTCTAAAAAAGGCCACTGCTGAATGTGGTTACTTCATTCGTACATTGCTCATCCCAGTGTATTTGACTCGATACAACTACAAAAGCTCATATCGCAAGAATAAATGGCTACGGTCTCTCAGCCCACTCGAACCACCGCTGCACCGAGGAAGGTGAAGAAGTGGAAACGTTAGCTACGACGAAGTTTTCTAGCAAGCTTGTGTTGGCTTGTAAATACAGCAAGATATTAACTATTACACCGAGGTTAAATAAAACGCTTCTCAAAAAAAAACAAAATCAGTGTTTTTATTCAACCACAGTAGCCTGTTGTCGACCACGCAGATTTTTGTGGGCTTGGTTGGCTTAGTGCACTGAGTCGAAGCAACGACCACACGTGTATAATATTATGCGGCACCCCTAACCACTTTCCCACAGACATTTTCTCATATAATGCTAGATGGATAATAATTTCGATATACTGACAACAGAGTTCCACAACGGAGTCATAGGCATAAACAGAAGCGTTCGACAAGCAAAAGTACCATAGAGGAAAGACTTCATAGGTCTGGGTGAAAATCTGACAAGCAAGCAAAGAATAGTAAGACGTAGGACTGGGAAGTGATAACCTATAATTTCGCCAGCTTCTTTACATTGTTGGTCACATAAAATACGAAGGATAAAGCGTTCTGCGTTGATCAATCCCTATGGGGTGCGCAATGCATCCAGCTTCATCAAATATTGTTAGGGGTGATTAAGTGCATATCTAACCTATTACCATATCTGACATATCTGAATTACAGAAGCGTACTGATGTATCAAGTCAGTGTTGTTACCCTTTTAGATAATTTTAGCACTATTTTGCCGATCCTGGAAGACTCAGAGAACCGTAAGAGTGTGGTCGAACCAGTAATCACAACGCGTGTATGCATGTCACTTCCGACTATTGCACTATACGCGCCAAAGATCCCATTCTGATGCTAATCAGATGAAGGTCAGCATCAGCATACGCATATTGGTAAATTTCTAGGTGCGCATCAGAACATCGTTGCATTAGATTCTGTGTGACATCGTCAAATGAATAAAGAACCGTCGCCCCAGCTTTCCCACGATGATGATCAAACTGGTGTATGAGATTTTTTATGACTGCCTTGTATAAGGAAAGTGTACTGTACAACATTGGATTACGATAACCAAGTGGTGACTCTGATTCGATTCACTGGACAACTAGTAGCTTCATTTCTTTCTAGGGTTTCTTAAAGTCGGCCAGAACTGATTAGTGGTGAAGGGCGGAGATGAAATGAACTACATCATATATGTTATATGTAGATAAAACAGCAAAAAGTAGCAACGCAGAACATACGTGAAAAACAAGAATAAGAAGGTAAGTAAAAACGAATTAGCGAAGCGAAGTGGACAACTATAAGAATCTGGCTACAGAGCGATTTCGAAGCGTCGAAAAAAAATTATGATAGAGCATAAATGAATAGTACAACTGATAAAGTATTTTCCTGCTTCGCGTTATTTTTTCACAGCGATTAAAAATAATACATTGTAGAAATGGTACCTCTGGAAGCGGGACAGATGCTCAGCAGGTCTACATTGCCTGCGCCACTTGATTGACCCATCGCTGTCACATTGCTTGGATCGCCGTTGAAAAATGAAATATTTTCCTAAACAGTATTTTCCTAAACAGTCACTCAACTGTAGAATATTCTCGTCCGAAAAAAATGTCAGACGTTAAGCACGGAAACGAAAAACAAGTTGAAATTTATCCTTGGGGAACACAAAATAACGATGAGAAAATATTTTTGGCAAATAAAACGAGGAAAACTAGTACCTGGATCCACCTGAGGGCGAGGATTTGATCCCATAGACCGAAATTTCCACGACAATACTCATCTCCAGTGGAAAAGAAGCCGAGGAATCCAACACGGTATTGAACAGTAACCACAACGACGTCTTTCGTACACTGAGCAGTTTCCGTTGACGATTCATGTCAGCAGGACTACACTGGGAATTTTGCTCTTCTAAGTATGATTTTTGTCTCATGTGTAGGTTTAGTAAGTCAGGATGAGATATTTAGTAAAGTATGGCGAATTCATAAGAAGTTCTCATAACAAACACAATTTACGCGTGGTTTTCGCATTTCTCGTTACACATTTCTTACACTTCGTTACAAGGATTGCCCTGAGTTCTTTCGATGGGAAGTTTTTATGACCACCGTTGGGTGCATAATTTATGATCACCATGGGATCTCAAACTACGTCAAATAATAATAGCCACCGAACACCTTTGCCCAATCCGGCCTCACCATGTCTTTGACTTTTATACTTAACAAATCATTATAGGCTAAAAGTAACTCTTACGTGACGACCTGGTCTCTATAGGAGTCATAAGGTGGGAAAATAACGGCCGCTTTCAGCTTTAAATCAACCTCTCAGAGCTCATAGTGAATTTCAATGACTACAGTAAAAACTAGTAGAACCTGTAAATCCTTGCCTATAAGAACGACCCTCTTAGATCACTGCGGTGAAACGATGGTTTTCTTGACCCCACGTAATATATTTCACACACCTTTTTTGCTTCAAGGTTAATATTTCGAGGATAAATGCAAAGGTACACATGGCATTCTTTCAAGAAAAGTGATTGATCAGATAGAGTTAAGTTACTCTATAAATCTTAAAGGTGATGGAAAAGATAACTTGCTGATATGAAGCGTTGCCAAACGTCTTTGTGAAATGGCTTTCACTTAACCTCAATATAAATGATCACACCTTGTTTCGCTAATAAGCTAATACGAAGCCGTTGTTAAGGTTTTAATCGCTCAAAATTCTTTTCTTTTGTTTTTATTTTATATGGCCCGTCTTCATGTCTACTGTGCGGATCCCAGAACTTCTCGCATTCGATTCGTTTCCTCGAATCCACTATCCACGAAGATCTTCCAACTTTTACGTGTGGCTTCGGCTACTACTTGAGGATTTTCATTTCATCTTGAATGTCGTAGAATGCTGGTCGAGCAATTATCCCTGGAGTCTTGAGATAGCCGAGTTGGAGCGTTCCCAATTGGATTACAGAAAGAGAAGTCCGGTACCAATTTCCCCACCCCGTAGAGATGAGAGGCTTGTTGGCCCGGAGCGGAATCGAACTAGCACAGTGATGACAGCAACCGATATCACTACTACTGTGCTATCCGCCTCCGCTTAATTCCTTCAATGTTTCAACTCCTTTAATGTTTTGATTGTTAAACGTATCTCAGAACTAAGTCGCCCAAAACGAATGTCAATGGAGCTCTTTTTGTGTGACATACTGACCCAACGGTAAGTGTTGTAGACACTCTGTTACATGAGATCATAACTTTAGTCTCTCACAGAACTTTTCTTCATCCTAAAATTCTGCAAAGAATTGTTAACCACGATCCTAATTCTCTGGAATTCAAAGTATTCAACGAAGAATTTCAAGGTCCTCCCTCATCTAAAAAGTCTTTCTACAAATTTCAATAGCTTAATACAACCATTAGATGATGAAAAGAAAACTGATTTAATATTTAGCTCACGAGTGTAAAAGGAAAATAAAAGTCTTTGTTGGGGATTTCCTATGAGTTTCTCTTTCACAAAAATCCTTTTTCAGAAAACAAAACTACCCTCTAGCACACAACGGTTTTTTGACAGAAAATGGAATTTGTACAACATGTGTAGGGTACTATCATTCTTGCAGCAAAGATTTATAATAGCCATCAAGAAAACGAGAAATCAACTCATTGCAGGAAGAGAAAGCAGTTAATAAAAAGAAGAAAAGATAAAGCTCTCGGCGTTGATCAATCCCTTAGGGATGCGCCATGCATTCGACTTCATTAAGCATCGTTGGAGGAGATTAAATGCATATCTGGCCTTTACAATGATTCGCAGTGGCCTGCCGATGTATCGAGCCAGTACTGCTATCTTCCCAGACAAGTCTTGTACCAAGTGTATGCATAGAAACAAATAATTAAACCACTTACTAAGTGCCTGCAGATTTCGACGTCTCCATACTTGGTGGTGCTGTCGCTGACGAATCCACCTCCATGAATGAAGACGAGCACTGCGAAACCCGACGCTGAGCTGGGACTCCACACCGGTGTGAACACATTCAGATAGAGGCAATCTTCCGAGATATTCCCAAGCTATTAACATGGGGTAACAATGACGAAAAATGTCTCAATTTAATTAGCGGTGTGCTTTTATTCTTCGTAAGTGTTGATGAAGTTACACATATAGCTATTTCACCATAAGCGTAGAACATTCCACTTGCCGTAACTATTCAGCGTTTAATCGTTTAGTTAAAAAGGACATACTTGTACTAAACAACGAAAATAATGACGACTGAAAATTTTAGAAAATTCAAGAGGGTTAAGCAAGGTCCATCAGAAAACAACCTTCCTTTCCAGCAAAGTGGGCTTTTGAATTGAACTTGCTGCAAATGCCTTCGTTTCCCGTACTCCTTCCCATGGTTCAGGTGGTTCGGGTTTCTAAAACCTTATACGGCTGTTATATTTAGAATAATCAGCAAACTAGTGAAAAAACCTACTCGAAATCGTAAGTTGCCTACAGGCGGATTCGCGTATGGTACTCCTTGGAAGGCGTCCACCTATGAAACAGTTTCTTCAAAGCTTCACCGGTTCTCATAGAAGAAGAAATTATTAGTTTATGGTGCTAAATATTAGGCAAAAATAATTCGAGCAACAACACTGCTGACGTTGTGACGTGATTACACATCACCAGTCTGCCCGGCTGTGTAGAGGAACAGTGTCACGTCTCCACATCATGCATCAATGCATAACGGGTAATCGACCTTTAGTTAAGTACTACGCAGTAATCTGGTGTTCATTCCGACCACAGTTATCTTCACAGTATCGCAATAGTGAGTTTTCCTTTTGTAAACTAAAAAAAATCATATCAATGTGAACACTTATGCTGGGTTTTCGCCAACACTACCCTTACTCGCATCTTAACTCTCAAATAAACATACAATCAGTCCTCGTCAACATAGTTGAATGTGGCTCTCGCCCACTACGTAGCAAGAGGTTTACTCTTCCGTCCTCACACATTCTACTTACATTGATAGTTTCCAGCACAGAAAAATCAAGATGTTTTTCTCCAAGCTTCTGAGGTATGCTTCTGTTTTCCATAAGTTTTCATAGAGTTTCTCACCATTCTTGCATGTGGCATAAAAAACTTCATATGGCAATTTTAGCAATTTACAATATATAAATGAAAGACTAATTTAATGACGCATTTCAACAGAATCGATGGACAACGTCAACTGTATGTTGCTTGTTGTTCTATATTTAGTAATTAGGTCTGTAACAGTACAGTTCTACTTACAAAGTGAAGGACGGAAGAAAAAGCAATCTGGGGTTGATATACTCGTTAAGGAAACGCTATGCAGACGGCTTCATCAAATATCACAGGGGTAATTGAATGTCTGCTTGTCCTGTTCAATGACTTGCTGTGACCTGCCGATGTGTAAAGCCAGTACTACTATCCACCCAGACAGGTCTGGTACTAATTTCCTGACTCCAGATAGTTTACTGGTAAGTTTTGTTTTTAGGAGCATGGAAACAAACCAAAGATGAGGTGTGTATTGTAGACCACCTCTCACCACCTCATTGCCCCGGCTATTAGTACCTCAGAAAATTTCTATAAATTATATATAATTAATGGTCAGTTAACAACAACAAGCCAATTTTACGGCGCCTTTGTTCAGCTAAAACTTATCAAATCGAGATGTGATTCATTTAATATGTTAAATTAACAACGCAATAAAAAAATTTTAGAAACCTGCCGGTTTTCGAAAGTAAATCGCCGGCCGACGATATTACCATACTTGGTTTTCACCACACGAGAATCCTCCGTCGGAGGGGCGCGGTCGCTGCTCTGTCTTTGTCCCATTATAAATCTCCCTACAAATTTTATTCTTCTAAATTTATAGTTTCTCAAAAAGAAAAAACATGGAGTTAAGACTTTTTTAAAGCAAGCGGATAGAGAAATACTGAGATGTACATCGAGAAAGAAAATGTTCAGAATTTCCAGGAATTTAGAACTGTCATTCTCAAGAAAAAATTAAAGACGAAGGGTAAATTTTTGTAGTTTCCTCAGCAACCGCGATTGAGGGAAAATCATGGAAACACCGCAGCGTCCTGGTGGACAAATTGACGACTTTTGAGTCGATTCGGCCTTTCAAATGGAGACTTCCAGAAGGAAAACCGAGAAGGATAAGTTTCACCAACTCCAATAAATCAGAATTTATTCTTGTAGAATAAGCTAAATGCATATCTTTTTTTGCGAAGATTCCAAGATTCTAACGGTCTTTATTTCAAGTAGTAGACCCCACTGTGGTCCGAAATATTTTAGTCTACAGCTGATCACTCCTAGTTTTCTTTGGCAGCATTACGTTCACTTCACATCGTCTGTTTTCTAATGATGAGGTCGATTACTGACAGTCGGTTTTTGAAATTGTCACAAAATGTGCTAGAGATTGAAACATGCTCTTGTTATTATTGGTAATACCGAAAGAATGTCGTTGTAGTAGCACAGCATGGGAGAAGTGCTACCCAGCGATAATCATGCACCTTGTTCGTTATGGTCATGCATGTCGTGACTTCTACTTCATCTTGATAGCAAAGAACGCTGTTTTGTCTCTCATTCAGGTCATTTTGTAAAAGTCAAATTCTGTTCTCATTCAAGATCCTAACAGATTCATAGATGGACTTAGCTGCGCATAGAAATCAACACCATAACATTTATTGAAGACCTTTTATTAGTGCCATGATATCTTGCGGTAAAACAGGAGTTACGTATGGAACATATCAATTGTCCCCTTCGCCCTATTAATAGGATAGAGCTTTCCATTCGTGTCCATGGAGAATGCGCAGTGCATTCGGCAGTGTGATACTCCTAAATTTGCCGACCCCAGAATGATGGACGACTTGGTGAGATCAGGACCCGGAATCGAACCAACGAATGTGTCTATTGTAGGCCACCCATAACCATTGCGCTATAGGCACCCTAAAAAAATGTAATGCACACCAAAAATATCGGTCAGTTCGATAATAAAGCACAACAAGACTTACGAATGGGTAGGAATGAACGTGCAACAGAAAGCGATCACTATCAAATCTATCAACGAAATCTATTGACATCAACACCAAACAAACCAGGTCGTTTTCCCATTACTATCACTATGACCTCCAAGTCGAGGTCACCCACATTAGCCCTGCTATGTTTCATTGCCATGCCCATAAAACTCCGCCAAATCTCACTAGTTTTATTTCATTTATACAACATTGTAAAGGAATAACAATACAAGGAGAATTTGCGCGAAAGTATCCATTAAAGTTGACAAAGACTCCAGGACGCATCAGAAAGCACGAGCACTCTCAGGAAAACGGAAGTGTCATTGAAATAAAATGTAGGAGAGATGGACCAGTAACAATACGTCACGAAATCGCTGCAATTTCAATACAATTACAAATTCTCAACTAGTTCTCAAATTTTATGTACAGAAAAAGTGCTAAAACCCCGAATACTTTTGTGCTATAATCTATTGTAGCGTTTGCCAATCCCTTGCGATATACGGCGGAAATCTACCATCTCTCAGGGTAATGCAAGCTCAGAAGAGTCCCGACAATTACATGAGGAATGCAAGGAACGCCAGCTACCTACGACTGGTAGCCACGCCATTACAGAGCTCGGTGAACGGCCCATGGCTAAGCCAAAGACTGATGAAGGAGAGCATCACATCAAAAGTATGACGATCTCCTTGACCTGCAAGAAGACAAGGACCACTGAGGAACTATGCTGTGCGAATAGGATGAATCGAGTTTACTGGATGTCTACTTGAACTCTTTGTTGATTGACGGGACTACAGGTTGTGCAGTGCTTGGAGCTACTTATAGTTTTGTCATTGACGACGAAGCTAAATGCTGAACATTTCACAGCATCTTTGTTGTCTCGTGGTTCACTGGCATCAACAATTTTACTGCTTTGGAACCTTAAATTCTCCAAACAAAGCGCCACTATTATGGAGAATGGCTGGTGCATACAAAGGCCAGAATCAAAACACTCCCAGTTCTTATAGTGCCAACTGATGACAAGAAATGAAAAATTAGAAAAAATAAGTGATATAAATTGTCGTAAACTAGATGCTTATATTGCCTACAATAGGCTCCTATGAAAACAAATGAAAAACGAGTGGAAACCTTAGAACTCGTCACTATTTCTGCGAACATCCAAACTTATTATAGGTGACATAATTAGCCATTTTTAGATAAGTCCCACAAACCATTTGGGTACCGAATGGTCAATCGAAGAAACAACGACGACGACTAGGGTGATGATGATCACGATATAGCAAATAAGAGACTTTGTAGACAACAAACCTCCTCACGAATCCCCAAGAACAACATATATGTTGAGAATATTTGGTCAAGTGATGTCAACAGAAATGTATTAATATTGCGATTACGTTACTTCGGTTTACACAGATTCTAATACTGTTAAAAACACTCCAAGATGAAACGATAACGAATAAAGCTTCCGCTGTTCATCAAACCCTAAGGAATCCGCCATGAATTAGAGTTCATTAAACAATGCTAGATGTGGCTGAATGTACTATACAATGACTTGTAGTGGCCTATCGATGTATCAAGTTAGTGCTGGTATGCTCGCAGACAAATCTGGCTACCCATTTACAGGCACCGGGATGAAAGATTTAGTGAGCTTGAGGCACGAGATCAAACCCATGACCACATGTGCTCTATGGCACCTCTAACCGCAAATAACAAACATTAATTTGTTGATCTATGCCAAGTTCAGGGGTAACTCGGAATTACCGGAATTTCCTGGAAATTACTTCAGGCCAGCATTTGTCAAGTAACAAGTAACAATTATGATGTTGTTATCGTAAATGCTCGTAAGGTTAGTTCTTTTATGATTTCAGAGAATGTCTTAACTTAGTTCCTACCCTTTTATTTACTGGCTATAAATAATAAATAGAAAATAAAAAGTTAGACATTGCTCTTTTGACCATAGTCTCAGCTTAACTGGGCTCAATGCCAAATCGTGCTGCCAAGATGGTTCCAATAGACGGGAAACAGCTGATGGGGCCGTTAGGGTTAAAAAGACGGATAGGAGAAACGCGAAGGGCCTCGGTGGTGCAGTGGGCAACACGAGAGCTCTGAATGCCTGGATGGCCCATCTTTATTGGTTATGAGGGCCCCAGAACGATTTCCATTCATTTCTTTCTCGAACAGTCGTCATACATGGTGGTCATATGCTTCAAGCATGTTGACGTCTTTGAGGCCCACTTCGAATTCCTAGAATTGTTCCTATATGCGAATGCAAATGGTTGACATTAGCCATGAACACGTTCACCCATCATTTGTTGGTCTTTCAAGAGTATGCTTGCATTCTGTTCGAGACCACTCCACTGTTCTTTTCATCCACGTGTCATCTGTTCTTATTATGTGACCGGACCATCTGTGCTTCGCAACTGATGTGTATTCTCTCGAATCCCAAAAACGGAAAAGGTTCCGAAGATCTGAGACGCGCATTCTGGCTAGACGCTATGAGTGCCGGTTAAATTTCAGAGGCATTGTTAAAGCGCTCTGTGGGTGGTGCACAGTGTTCTTGCCACAATTGACGTACTAGCCCACTTCTCTGCTACACAACACTGAGCTGGGAGGATTGTCGAATCGGAAATGTAGGCGCGAAGTTTTGATCCGCTACTTGGTCAGTGGCTTCTTTGAGAGGTCATACGGCCCATGCTGCTGGTCTTCTTCTTTCCCGTTCCTCATTAAAGTTGTTCTCCATGTTCATTGTACGTCCAAGCTATACCTAATAGATGGCCTCTATAATTACAAAACGATCCAGTTGTATTCACTTGTCTTCGCAGCATGGGTTCTTCATGAACTGAGTCTTCGTCTTATTTACGCCCAGTCCAATGTTCTTTTTCCATTTCATTGAGTTTCTGTCTCTTCTTCACTAATATTCCTCGAAAAGACGACGATTTCTAAACCAAGATTTAATAAAAATTTTCAATCAATACGTATGCCATTCTCTCACCAATTAAATGACCTCATTGCCCACTGTAGTGCGTCAGTAAACGGTTTTGGCGATATGATATCACTTTGTCGAACCCCCTTTCCTATAGGTATGACAAGAGCTCGATGGAAAGCTAC